CCACGCTCTGCCGTGGCCCGGCGTCCGGTAGGCGCTGGTGCAGTTGCCGCCCGCCCGCCCGCCCGCGAGGCCACAGCGCCAGACGCATCTCGCACGGGGCTGCCTGGCACGGTTAAGCTCCTGGGATCGGGGCATTGTCCACTCGCAGTTCAATGAGTGCTGGTGAAAGCGTCGGCGATTAGCATGCGTGCTCCGTTCCGCTGGGCCAATGAGCTCTGAAGCTGTTCAGCCACGATTGCGCGTAACATTCAATCTGCTCGCGGCCAAAACACAAACTCTTTGTCAATGTTTTTTTTAATATACATGTAAAAAAAAACCGTCACAGCAAGGTCTTTAGATGCGGGTACCATTGAGACGAATTTCTGTTTTGTCTGGGCCACTGTCACAAAACCCATCTCTGAAACGGACAGAATTATTCCTTTTGCAATTAACATAAATTCGTGCACTAGCCAGGCGGAGGGCCGTGGTGCCCGGCCAGCAGTGGCACGAGCTGCCGTTCCCCGCGGTGGCGCTCGGATGGTCGGCCTCCGACCGCGGGCAATCATCTCGGCGGACGATGTCCACCAAAACATCCCCAATTGTAGCCGGAAGTTGCTGTCCAGGATTATTTAAAATTCCGACAGCAAATCCCACGTGGTGGGAACAACGCCACCGCCACCACCACCACCTGCGAGTTCCACTCCAGAGCTGCGCACCGTCTGGACTTGACCATTCATCATCGTCGTCGTCAACTTTCATCGCTGGGTCAGAATCCTGGAACTCCCTGGCACACGGCAGTGTGGGGTCAGCGCCGTCACCAGCAGTGCGGGGAGAGGGCCCAGCACCACCGGCGCTGTCTCGGCGTAGCTGATCAGCGACGCCACACCCTCATAGGCTTTAGAGTTCACATCATTCCACTGAGAGTCTAAAGTCAACGTCGAATTGACGCAGACCGCGTGGCGAGGTGCAAGCCGGGAGTTCCCCCGAGCGGCAACGCGAGGGGCACACAGACGACAGAACAAACCGCGAGGTAGAGACATCGGATTGGCTCTCTTTTTATTGTTACTCCGCTACGTCACCCCGGAAAGCCTCAAGGAGTGTCACGTATATTTTACAGGATGGTCCTGCCAAGTGGTTTTTTTTTCCCAATTGGAGTAACTTTTCTAATTTGGCAAACTTTGACGGTAACGCCGACACTCAGTTCCATACTGTTGCAAATTACATCACGGGATCTTTAACGTCCACTGAAGATGACGGCGCGTACTATTACTTAAGATGAATACGCACCGCAGTGTTAACCGGGGCGGCCGCTGGATTCAAACCACGATCCTCCGCAACAAGTGGCGAGTGTGCCACTTGCGCTACCGTAAGGTTACGCCGTCACGGTCTATCCACTTCTGGATAGACCGTGACGACATGGCCGTGAGAGATGCACGCTTGGAGTGACACGTGGATCGTAGGGCAACCCAAACCCGAGTTTGTGACATCGTGTTGACTGTTAGAGGATGTGGGCAGGATTCGTGGCGAGAAGGGATGAGACGCCGTTGAACTGACGGCAGACATCTACTCTGCTATCGTTTTTGTTTCACAGTTTGCGGAGCAAATTCCCAAAACGCCAAATGGCCAGCAACAAACGGCACGCATGTCGTGCGATGAGGAAACCGTTCGGAACTCTGGCAAAGCGGTGCAACCCGCGGCGTTAGAGAACGCCCCACAGAAGCGGATATCTGAGAGCTACCTTCAAATGACCTCTCCCACGTTCAATCCAGGATCTGTTCCACCCAAACATGTTCCCACGTGCTACATGAGGGTTGATGTTCGTTGCACTACCGTCGAACCAATATATATTTTGGTAGTTCTCATAGCTGCATGGAAGTCATAAAAAATCAGTGCAGAATCAAATGTAACGCTTTGGGTTTTCTTCTTCTTCAGTCACTGGTGACCTGGCTGTGATCATGAACTCACTCCACGCGACACATTAATTCATGATGGGCGCGGTTGAGCCCCAGATTCAGTGCAGTCGAGGTCCTTCGCGCTCCGCGATCTCTGCGATGGACGAGGCCGATGGGGGTCACGACTTCGGTTCGACAACGATCACCTCTAGTGGCTGCGGGGCTGTCGCGTGAACGAAAGACTGTACCTGCGTGCACCTCGAGCGGAAGAATCATCGGCGTGAATCGATAAATCGGCGCCTCGTGGCACGCAGAGGCGCCGCAATGCCAAGCCGTGTGGCTCGCAGGCTGTGCCACTTTGAATTGCGACAGGGCAACGATGCTCCCCCCCACCTCTCCGCCCCCCTACCCCCCCCCCCCCCACTGCCATTCAACGCAAGCGCCGTTCACACGAAACCGCACGAGACCACATTGGAAGCTCGCGTGACCTCTGGCTGGGCCGTGACCCCGATTCTGCGGAGCGCTCCGTGTGGTCTTAAACTTGTGGCTCACAAAGGCACGCGGCGGAGCGGCAGCGGGAGATAAAGGGCGACGTGGCCCCCGGCGGTGATTGTGCGAAGGCACCAAGGAACGAACACTCGTCAACAAAAAGTGTTTGTTTTGGTTGAGTCGACGGTGGCTATGAGTGGACGAAGATCATCGAGCGTGGTTCCACGGTGGCTACGACCGCTGTCTACCAGACCATCACCACCACCAACATCATCATCTCCACCACCACCACCATCAATCACTATCACCATCTCCACCATCATCATCATCATCTCCACCACCACCACCACCATCAATCACCACGACCACCGCTACACGACTACCGGCCAAAGTGCGAGTGACCGTGCCGAGACGGAGTTGCCAGAGTCCGAGTGAAGATGCCGACTGAGATGCTCTCTTCGCATCGTTACAGACTGTGGTGAGCCGAGTAAGACCGAGCGTGCTAATTGGTGATGTATATTTACATCAACACCACATTTAGCGAGTTCACCGGATGGCTGACCTGATAATACTGGGAGATGTTTCGGGCAATGGCAAATCGATTGAACTTTTGTTTTTTTATACTCTTTTGTTCTATTCGGTAAAGTCACGTAAAAGTATAAAACAACAAAAAAAAATCACGACGTTTCGGCCACAACACAAGTGGCCTTCATCAGGTGAAGGGACCAGACTGTCTCGAGGACAGCGCTGGAGTGAACACAGCCAAGCTCAGACCGCGACCTTAAAGCTTGTGTGAGAGGAATTAAGGTGCCTTGACAAAGGAATTAGCATAAAAATTTGCATTTAATTGGCAGACTTAGCATGATGAACGGTGTAGAGGGGGTGAACATGTGCATACCGGCGAGGGGGGGAGGGGGAGTTTACATATTGATGGTGTGAAAAGGGAATTTAAGCAGCTGCGAAAGTTTGGGATACCACTACTTGAAAAAATATACTGTACCATTGAAAATTAGTTTAATGTTTGGTTCGATTTAGAACATCTTTCCAATGGTTGCTTAATTTGAAACCATCTTCTCGGTTGAAATTGTGTCTGTGTTTGTAAATCTGAATTGCCTCGTGAACAAATCTCAATATCACGGCAGTGGCCTTCGCCAAAAAAAATATGCAGCTAACGTTTGGGGCAATTTTAAGGGAGCGTTATTGACATGGAATGCGTTGAGGTTTATTGTCATTAACTGCCACCGCAGCAGCAGCAGCCTCAAATATAAATTGGCACTGGGAATTCCATAACCAGGAGGGAGCGACCGTCCGTGACAGCAGCAGTCACCTTCATTCAGCAGCCACGCGGCGAGCAGACTTCCAGCGACGCACAACTCGGCTAAACTTCCACAGGGCAGCCCGCCTTTGCCGACGAGACCGGACTCCGGCCCAGACAACTCTGCCGCCGTGTGCATTGCGAGCTCCGGTGGCGACGGGGGTGCCAATGGCACGGCGCGACATGTTGGGGTGGGGTGGGGGGGGGGGGTGGGGTGGGGTTGGGGGCGCCCGCACGCACGCAGCACGCGTGCTGTGTGGTCCCGTGAAACGCGCGCGCGCACGCACGCCCCCGTCCTCTCGCAATCTCACGGCTCGTGAGAAAGTGCCGGGGCCACCAGACAACCGCACATTTTGCACGGCCGCCCCCTTGTCAAGGGATTTAATCTAGCGGAACGGAATACGTCACGGCCACAATCGCGACTATGTATTGGCTAATTTGTCAAATGACGTGAAATGGGATGAGGTTTGTGCTCGCACAAAGGTGCGGACCCTGGCTTGTCCTCGGGGGGACAGCCATTACCACCGTGAGAAAGCGCGTGGCACGCCGAGGTCCAGAAGGGTTCGGCTTGGGGAGGAGCCGGCCTGCGCAGGGCGCGGCGCCGAGGGTTGAGCCCGGGGGTCGGTGGGGTCTTGTGGTTTTTCTCTCCCCGAGGAGGAGGAGAGAGATCGGGGTGAGGGATGGGAGGTGGCCGCTCATTCCTGGAGCGAGTCGCCCAGGAGCCCAGCAACGGCGGCGCCTGCAGGGGAGCCGCTGGGTGTCGAGCGAGCGAGCCTCGCGTGAGCCATGCGAGGCTCGCCGGCACCACACGGCCCTTCAGCTAACCTCACCCGGGACCAAGGGTCTCCGCGTGGTCACACCTCGCAGGCCAAGCCGGGTCGGGCCTGGACGGCGTTTGGAGTCTATTCTTACGTACGATGGCATTACGTTCAGGAGCTAAACGCCAATGTTGAGGTCCGCTGGCCACGAGAGGGCTTCTCTGTGGTCCGCAGTTTCGTGCTTGGATGGGCGACCACCATTCACAAACCGGTGGCTTTGTCGGCCGTGTGGGTGGTCGAGGGCAGTGCAGAAACACATTGTTGTACCGTCCTGCTATGATCCCCGCATTCACAAACCCGTACTGACCAGCGTGGAGAAAGAGTCGATTGGCCCTCACGACGTACACGGCTGCAGGGGAGGCCCTCATCCAATACGGCTGTTCAGCTCAACGATTGGCTGAACATGACTTGAACTCGCAACCTTGCAATCGTTAGGTGAAGCACGGTAACCGCAGAGCACGCACACCGCGCACACTCTCTCGCGAGTAACCACGCAGTAACTACAAGTAACAATCGTCTCATTGAACTTCATTGAATGTTTACAAAATAGTACAAAAATATTTTACCACTTTTTAGTTTTTTTTTTACAAAACGGAGGCACAAACCTTTGACGCTCACCGCTCAAGTGCAAACAGCTGCGTCGACTCTGAGCAGCGCACAGCGCACGCTGCACGCACGGCATTTTCGCACGCACGAAATACACACATGCATGCGTGACATATACACACACGCACGGGAACCATCAGGCTTCGGCCCGAGTAGAAATCACGAACACCGCATTGCAGGTGCGGTCTCATCTCCCACCCATCGCAAAATCGAGAGGAGTCGCCTCCGGTCGCGAGCGTGGCAAGCGCGATCCGTCCATCGCGTCACCACGCACTGCACCGCTCACACGGGGGGGGCACCGTCGCCACCGATCAACCGGCTGCCGATGCCATCGGATGGATTACCAAGCTCAGCACACGGCTACGACATTTGGTCAGCTGCTCTTCAATTGCCGTACGAGAGAGACAGCCGTACGCACGGCTCGCTGATGCGGTCGAGCATCACGAGCGCTGGGGAAAAAGTCTGTCCGTTGGACGGCTTCTCATGACGGGACGATTGCCAGCGTGACGACGGCGTGCCAAGTTGATATCTTCTCGTCTGTCGCGAGCGATGAGTTCAGGCACAGACCCAAGTCCCCAACGGAAGAACACGCGAGGACGTCACACCTTACAGATGCTATACATGAACGAACGAGCGGCGAAGAATTTGACCGTATGAGGGTGAGGATTTGCAAACGCGGTAAGGGATGGAAATTACAACTCTGGTAACAGACGAAACGGACGACTTGGGATGTCCGATGAGAGACGCATGCGGATAACAATGGAATGGAGGCCAGTGGAGAGAGTACGGAGGACGAGAGGTGGATGGAAAACGAGACGGCGGAGACGAGGCGAGAACGTCCCACACGATGGAGCGGGCCGGAGCGGGGAGGAGAAGCCGGAGCGGGGAGGAGAGGCCGGAGCGGGGAGGAGAGGCCGGAGCGGGGAGGAGAGGCCGGAGCGGGGAGTAGAGGCCGGAGCGGGGAGGAGAGGCCGGAGCGGGGAGGAGAGGCCGGAGCGGGGCGTCAGGGAGGGGCACCACGTGGGTCCACGCTGCGTCAGGCCACGTGGCGAGTCACGAACAGCTGCACGCTGCTGGGGAGAGCCTTGAGGAGAGCCACCGCCTCGGCCTGAGTAAACCCCTGCAGGGGGATGCCATTGGCCTGCGCGTTCACACACACGGACAAATATCCCCCATGTAGCATTAACAGATTGCTGGGGCGAGCGCTGTGAGCAAGTAGCACTTATTAAGGGCAATAGTGCTAGAGGGGGTGGTGTGGCCAGCGCCTTACCTGACCGTCTTTGTCTCCCCAGTGCTGATGTATTATACACTGCACCAGGTACTCCCTTAAGGGCAGTCGACCTAACGGAGGCCCAGCACCGGTTCAGATTTTCGTCACTGTTATTGGTCGAGAGTGGGTACCCAACTTGGGTTTGTCGCGTAGTACACTAACCACTGCACTACCGCATTCATACAACAACTGTCATTCACCACGACGCTTGTGCCAGGCTATGTGCACATTAAGGCCACATCAAGTGTTGAATGCCCGCTGGCAGGAGGTCACAATGCAGACCCAGGTGCCAAGGGTCGACTGACTGAGATGACTGGCCAATGCCCCGCCTGTGCCCCCTACCGTGCCAACTTGCTGTGTTTGTGAGCGTAGCTCCTCTGCCCTCCGTTGTTGCTGGAGGGCGACTGCCTACAACTGCCCGTTAACGTCCTTGACGAGCCTTCTCCACAGAGGCCGATCTTGACACCGCTGGTACCAGTCATCGGCAAGTCCACTCAGCTCCACATCCTCCTGTACCACATCACTCCATCTCTTCTCTAGCCTGTGCCGCGCCCGTTTAGCCTCCTCTATTCGACCAAACAAAAGCTGTTTAGGCATGCGGTGAATGGGTATGCGGGCTACATGACCCAGCCAACGTAGCCTTGCCTGCCAGAGGAGCTCACCGATGGGACTTTGTCCAGATCTTTCAAGGATTTGTGAGCTCCTCACACAATCCTGCCTGGTTAAGGCAAGTTGACAATGCCAATCATCAGTTGGTGGGTTTTCACGTGGCCCCGCACACCGATGCATGACTCCAAGGATAGCCTCAACGTAGAATCTGGATTCTTTAGAAGCTGGGAGCTGCCCTATGAAACACGCATGTATTAACTTGTTTATTTCCCCCACGCTGCTGGGCTGGGACAGGCGAACGCAAGCACACCTGGCCGGAGTAACTGTGAGCGGACGATAATACCTGAAGGATTTCATCTCCAGGCTTGAGCACCTCTTCCGCTGGTCCGCCAGGCTGCACTCTGTGCACGAAGATACCCTGGGTGGGACGAGAAGGGGCGACGAGGGGCGGGAGAGAATGGGCGAGTTGAGCGGTGGCGAGGTTACGGGTGTCGATAAGCCTGGTATAATACAGGAGGGTGTGCATATTTGTAGTTTGCGTGCGTCTCTCTCCACGTGGATTTTTCTCTGGGTCCTGCGGTTTTCCCCTCCGAAACGTGCGTTTAGAGCAAATGGCTGCTATACATTTTCACGTGATCAGCAACTATGTTGAGCTATCATTTGTGGCCAGTTCCCTTCTGAAAAAGGGCTATATAGCTCAGTGGGCCTTACCTGGTAAAATTAAAAAAAGTTTGGTTTAAATAGTTTCGTTTTTAAGCAACAGCAGCTAGGATGCAATGAGACGTGCAAAATATCGGCAACGTGGATCTGCTCAGCGTTTAAATGTGGCCGTGACCTTGGGCCGCTGTACAGGGAAGTGGGCATGTCGTTTTGCGGAGAGCCAAGTTGAGTTTGTTAAAGCAGGCGAGAACTCTAGCGGCCAGGATACAGAAGAGGATTCTCGTTCGCCACCGTGACCTGGCGACAGAGACAGTCGGTCGTAAGCGGAGGAAGAAGCAGAGTGTTGAGCCTGGATGTGAATGGGGCCAGGGAGTCGACAGCCCAGACGGCTGGGGGAAGGGAGTTCCAGGCTATGTGGGCAGCAGAGGATGGATTCTAATAATCCAGAGTTAACTAAAACGAGCTCTAAATGGTCACACAATTCAGAATTCAACACGGGCAATCCTCACATTGCCAGAGGATTGCTCAAGTTTACGATTTAGTTGCGACACACAGCTGCATGCGTGCAGGCGTCTGAACATATCAAGGCTTTAACCGATGAACGGTCAAGACAACATTGAAAGTGTGTGCATTTGATACTAAAAATGTTTTATAAAACAAAGCTACAAGAAAACCGAAGGGTGGTGTCGATCCACCAGCCGCCACCGGTTAAATGTTGATCAGTTACGGCCTTGCTGCATTCAGGACAGGCTCCCGAGCATGAGGAGCGAAACGTCGGACATCACGGCGAGCAACGCGCAGAACAACCCGGAAACGCCCGGGAGATGAGCGCGGGCCACGTGTGTGCATTTGGCGGTGCGGGCGGTGCGGGCGTCACCGTTTGTGAACGAGTTTGGGTCCCCGCATCACCCACGATGCTGAATCCCAGGCCGGGTCGCTTCACCAGCACCACACACAGCTGAGGACAAACACAGACGACAATCGTCGTAATAACGCAGAGTTGTAAGGTGGGGCCGCACAGCATTGGCTCGCTCGGCAAGAAGAGGGAACGATTTGGAGGTGCAAGGAGAAATCACAGACAAGCATGGAGGCAGCAGCAGCAGCCACGCAATGATCTGATTTCATTTGATTTTGCACAACGCAAAATCACAAAGAGCCACCATACAAACTTTAAGCAGACTGTTTGTGAGCGCTGTTTGTGAGCACTTGTTAAGGGGACCAGAGTGCTGAAGAGGGTGGTGTAATTCAATTTAATCCTGAGTTGACCTAAGGGAGGCCCAGAACCAATTCAGATAATCGTCACCGGTGGTGGCTGCCGCGAGCGGGAATCGAACTCGGGTCGCCGGGTTCGTAGTGCGGTGCGTCACTGCTCACCCATAACTACACACAGAAGGACACGCAAAGACTGGGACACACACACAGGGACACGCACAGAGAGGGACACGTACAGAGAGGGACACGTACAGAGAGGGACACGCAGGGAGAGGGACACGCACAGGCACACACACACGCACAGACAGGGACACGCACAGGCACACACGCACACTCGCCACACCTCCTGCGCGTGGCTGGTCTGCCCCAGCTCCAGTGCTGTGTGTGACTGGGGCTGCGATAGTGGCGGCGGGGCCGGCGGGGGCGGCTGTGTGATGCGCTGCAGGATGAAGTCGATCAGCTGTTCGCGGGACGGCTGCCGCGGCATGGCCCTCGCTGCCTCCCGGCCCGGTGGCTGCGCCTGTTCCTGCGGCTGTTGCTGCGGCTGTGGCTGCTGTTGGGATTGGTGTGTTCGTTGTAATGAAAGCAATGAAGAGGGGAGGATGCGGCAAGTTGAGGTCACTTACTGCGACGGCAGCGATTCTCAAATGCTGAATGAAGCGCGTCCTGTGCATCATCACGTAGGGGTCCTATAGGGGTGACTAAGTTAAAGGTGCAGCCCTGCAATTGGTTGCTGACGCCACTGCTGGCAGAAGGGCCTCTACTAGAGGCGGTTCAAGGTGTGAGTACCCACATTGTACCCCACCACACGGAGACCTGCAGATCGACTAACTGTGGGGTAAATCTATTTATACTGCTGCAGTGGACAGAGGTGGCGGGGGAGTGAGGTGGCGAACACAAGAAATGTGCTCCGTCGTTTCAACTGCCGTGCCCGGATGCCCGAAGCCCTCTTGTCATTGCCAGCAGACCTCTACATTGGCACCAAGCTCCTGAACCACATCCCTGCTGCTGCTGCGTCGTGCGCTAGAACAGAGGAGACCTCAGCTTCGGCTTTCCCATCGCCCGCGCGTCGCGTGACAACGGCAGGTGCCGCCGCGTCATGTGACAGACTCACTGCGTGCGGAGGGCACTGGCGAGCGTCCGGCCTATGCCAGTCATGGCGAGGCCAGGGTGGCGAAATCTGCGCGGCAGTCGGCGGGGAGCAGGGGAGGTGGAGGAGGAGGAACGACGATGACGAAGGAGGAGGAGGGGGGCGGGGAATGAGGGCACAAAGGTGACGGCAAAACAAACGATCAAGCAACATGCACATGCCGTGTTAGTATTTGTGTGTGCCACCACCATCACTGCCCCGACCACCACGAGCACACAGGAGAAGAACCGCAGCACCGCATGCCTGTGTACGAAACAACGCGCGTGCGACGTCGTGCGCTCACGGTGGAGGTGGGCGTCCGTGCGAGCGTTCGTAGCAATAACAAGGATCAAATCATTGGTACGTTTGGTGTTCGCGCGATCGTTATTAGGACGAAAGGCGAACATCATGAAGGGACGCGCTGCTGTGTTTCACAGACGCAGGCTGGGGGGGGAGTGACGATTGCCGTGTGCGGTCTCAACTGAATAATTTGCGACGCTCTCTGTCTGTCCAGGAAAGCCTCACGAATCTTTTTCAGGAGGGTCCTGACATTCGGTCATTTCCCCAAACGTGCGTTCAGCACGTGGCAGGGAACGGAAGTAACCAGAGAAAAACCCTCCACGCATATGCGGAAAGAATGCCCAGAGCCCAGGCCTGTCTGTGGTTCAACCCACATCCTAAAATCCTAAAATTACAATTCACAATGAGTTAATTTTGGGTTGGACAGTGTGGGTTTAATGTCAGTTACAGCTGCAGCCCTCCAGCTCCCGACACGGCCAGACAAATCAAGTTGTCGTGTGGGCAAAGGAGCCCAATCGAGTTTGCTTGTCAGAAAAACTGGTTACGTTGAAAAGTGAGCAAAACTTGGGACACTTTTGCCCTGCCGGTTTGCTGGAGGTTCAACGAATCCATCTGTGAAGCGTCCCCACCGCTGTGCTGACAAAAATGCTGGCAACAGCCCGACGCCTACAAGGGCCAGAAAGCCACGAGGGTTTCCCATCCACACAACGACCAGGCTCAAGGCCGGCGACCTTCTGAGATCCGACAAGGTCGGGCGCATCACCCGGTAGCGTGGTAGCGAATCTCTTCTACAGAAACCAGAACCGGACTCGTACGGAACGCCCACCCCATAATGGTTCGTGTCATAAAACGCGCGTGGTCAATTCAGAAGATATTTGTTGTTATAAAAAAAGAAACAGGACAGGGAGTTTCAAACTTCACACGGTTACGGGGGAAAAGTAAGCAGGGACACTCGGCAGCTCCAAGATGATTAATGAGTAACGAGCGAAAGGTTCGAGTGCGCAGAGAAGCGAGAGGGGTGGTGGCATGCGTCAGTTCACGTTGGCGGGCCGGCTCTCGCTCTCCGCGGGGTTAACGGGCCGCCCGCCACACCCAGGCGCAGGCGCGAGCGAGGGAAGGGGGGCCGGGGAGGGGGGCACAGAGTCGGGGGGCTGCGGAACGACAACGGCAAAACACAGTGAGGATATAATCACCATCGGCATCGTCATCGCGAGATGTGCCACATAAGCTCTACACGCCCCGCTGTGTGGCCTTGGTTGTACTGCTGCTGCGTGGCTCTCTCTCTGGCTCTCTCTCTCTGGCTCTCTCTCTCTGGTGCTCTCTCTCTGGCTCTCTCTCTGGCTCTCTCTCTGGCTCTCTCTCTGGCTCTCTCTCTGGCTCTCTCTCTAGCTCTCTCTCTCTAGCGCTCTCTCTGGTGCTTTCTCTCTAGCTCTCTCTCTGGTAGTCTCTCTAGCGCTCTCTCTCTCGCTCTCTCTCTGGTAGTCTCTCTAGTGCTCTCTCTCTAGCCCTCTCTCTGGCTCTCTCTCTGGCTCTCTCTCAAGCGCTCTCTCTGGTGATCTCTCTCTGGTGCTCTCTCTCTGGCTCTCTCTCTAGCTCTCTCTCTGGTGCTCTCTCTCTGGTGCTCTCTCTCTAGTGCTCTCTCTCTGGCTCTCTCTCTCTGGTGCTCTCTCTAGTGCTCTCTCTAGTGCTCTCTCTGGCTCTCTCTAGTGCTCTCTCTCTAGTGCTCTCTCTGGTGCTCTCTCTGGTGCTCTCTCTCTGGCTCTCTCTCTCTGATGCTCTCTCTCTCTGATGCTCTCTCTCTCTGGTGCTCTCTCTCTGGCTCTCTCTCTGGCTCTCTCTGGCTCTCTCTCTAGTGCTCTTTCTGGCTCTCTCTCTAGCTCTCTCTGGCTCTCTCTGGTGCTCTCTCTCTGGCTCTCTCTCTGGCTCTCTCCGGCGTTTTCTCAGGTCGTGCTGCGCGCGGTTCGGCACGACGTCTGACGTTTCGCGCTGGCTGCTTCTTCAGGAGCTGAATTTGAAGTACCCGGCGCACGAAGCTCAACGTCGGATTTAACGCTTTGAGTGGTAGATTTGTGCCACAAAGGTGCCACGCGAATGTACACAAAAATAAAATTTCCTTGACTTGACAGTCCACCCATATCACTACCACAGCTGACTCGCCACAAAGTGGTACTCATTTTAAGCACGACAGAGATGAAAGTCTGGGTTGCCCTCTAACCGGAATTAGAACTTGAGACTTTCCTATTTTCAAATTGCACGCTCTAATCATCATCACCGCCAATAAACTCGGCGCTGCAAGACCGACTGAGGACCGGGTTTCAATCGTGCAATCGGTACTCGTGACCAACTCGATGACGATGGCGCCATGACCGTCGTACCTGCTCCGCCACAGGCTCAGGCCTCATCTCTTCGCGGCGGTGGAGGTGTGGGCTCGCCCACGGCGGGGTCGGCGGCCCGTAGGGCCGGTGGGACGGGCAAGCTGGGGGGGCGGCGGCGGCGGCCGGGGCGGCGCGCCAAGGGGCCGAAGGCTCCGCGGGCGGCCGAGGGACGGCGTAGTTTGCCCGCGCGCCGTCCGGGCTGTGGCGGCCGTGGCAAGCGCCCGCGATCACCGTGTCGCAGTAATTGGCACGCGACGCGGCGAGCTGCATGCGCTCGGCGGTGTGCAGCAGCCGGTGGCGGTGCGCCACGGCCGCCGGTGGCACGCCGACGCCGGCACAGGGGTCGTCGCGGGAGGCGCGCACCCGGCCCGCCGGCGGGCCGCGCGGGGGGTGGTGGTGGACGACGCGTTGCCGGTCGCCTCGATCGTAGCGATCGTGGTGGCGGTCAGGGCGATCGTGACGGTGAGCTTCCTGCGAGCCGCACTGCGGTGCGATCTGCGCGTGCGCTGCCGCAGCTCCTGCGGCGTCCACATTCAATGGGTGCCGCGTCGCAAGGCCGCAGTCTGTGCGAGCCAGACAAGCGGGATCGGCTTTGTGTAGGCGGCGGTCGGCGTGCCACGTGGGCGGACCCGGCCGTGCGAGCGGGGGCACGCGGTCCTGGGGATCTTCCCGGTGGCGGTCCTGGGGATGTTCCCGGTGCTCGCAGCATAGACGGTGCGGCTGGCCGTGCGCCGCACCGCGCGGTGCCACCGGACCGTCTTGCTGCGCGTTCCTCCTCTTGGGGGGCAGCGGCGGCGGCGGCGTCGTCGCGTCCCTCCGCATCGCGATCTCCCGGCCACCCGGGGCGAACGCCGTCCCAGGGCGTCGTGCCGGCGTCGACGTCGCGTACGGCTCCAGGACGGACGCCGCGCCGCGCTCCGCTGGAGAGGCCGCCCCATCGCCGGCCACGGGAGTCGGAATCTCGGCGCGCTCCGCGGTAACCGGCGCGCGGCGCAACGGGGGGGACGGCGTCGAGGGGCCCCGCAGTGAGGACGGCCGCTCCTCGCGTGCCGTCGGCGATTCTTGCGGGCCGGGCAAGGTTACCCCCGAGCCTGCGTGTGTCGGCGTTCGCCTGTCCCCCGCACCTTGCTGCTCTACGATGTTCTCTTGGCGTTCGTCTTCTTGTTCTTTATCCGTGTCTCCTCGCCGTCCGTCCGTGTTGCGCTTGATGACCCTCACCTGCCAGGGCTCCACGCGTACGGCGCGCGGGGGCTCCGAGTGCACCACCACCACCACCAACGCCGCCACGGCCGCCCCCCCCGCATGCAGCACCTCGGCCTTCGCGACACCGCGCAACACGCCAGCACGAGCGGCGCCCTCCGGCTCAGGTGGACGATCCGGGGAAGTCGCCGCTGCGACCTCGTCGTTGTCGACGTCATTGTCGACGTCGTTGTCGGCGTCGTTGTCGTTGTCGACGTCGTTGTCGACGTCGTTGTCAGCGTCGTTGACGACGTCGTTGTCGACGTCGTTGTCAGCGTCGTTGCCAGCGTCGTTGTCAGCGTCGTTGACGACGTCGTTGTCGACGTTGTTGTCAGCGTGGTTGTCAGCGTCGTTGTCAGCGTCGTTGTCGCTACCACCGCCGGATGGCGCTTGCGACGAACACTCCCGTAAAATCTCTTCACCAAGGATGTTCACCGAGTCATCTTCCGCTTTGACAACGCTCGGAGGACTGTCGTCACAGATATCACTCGGAGGCCTGTTGTCAAGGATACTACTTGGACTGTCGTCAAAGATACTATTCGGAGGACTGTCGTCACGGATACCACTCGGAGGACTGTCATCGTGGACGCTACTCAGAGAACTGTCATCACGGATACAATTCGGAGGACTGTCGTCACAGATACCACTCGGTTGAAGGCTGTGAGCCATGGGACGGCTGGGCGGACCGCTCTGGCTGACGACGGGCGGGGAACCGATCGCGTTGAGGACGCACGGAGACTGATCCACCGTGACCCCGCTGGTCCGGTCGCCCGTCTCCGGGACACGGGAGGAGCCGTCGGCTGCGAGCCCACCCGGGCCCAACACCGCATCGGCACCGGCGCCATTGTTGTCGCCATCCTCCTCCTCCTCCTGCTGCTCCAGCAGCAGCAGACAGTCGTAGCCCAGCAGCCAGGGCAGTGTCGTGGTGCTGGCGTCGGCGTGGCCGGTGTCAGGTTGGCCGCCAAAGCTCGGATCCTCAACCCCGCTCTCCACTGCGACACACGGGAAGGGAGGCAGAGCGCGTGGCGCCAGTTATCGGGAGCCTGTGCGTGGACTCACTGTGCGTCAAACGGTGTAATGACGCATCACTTAAATCGATGAAGCCTCATCCTTTGAATTTTTACCGATGCTATTTTGGATAACGTCGTTTCACTGCTGCGCTCCCGAGAACGGAAGTGGTTACGTCCCCCCGAGCGCAAGCCCACAGAGACGTGGGGCTCCACCGTATTCGCTGGACAAGAGGATGCACTCCACCCACCCCCCTCCCCGCCCTGTTTTTTTTAATGCAACATTTGAGGGTGCATCTTGTAATCCGGTAGCTGTGTGTGTGCGCTTGCTTTAACAGATGTGTAACTTTGTAGATGCCGGGGACGCGGTGCGCGAGGAGCGAGACTAACGAGCAGAGTCGAGGCTGATTAACGTTGGCACCACCAGCGGCCGATCCGAGATGGGGGGCAGCAGCTCGGCCATCCTCATTTCCATGCTGTCATCCTCCTCCTCCTCCTCATCCTCCTCCTCCTCTTCATCCGCCTCATCATCATCATCATCATGCTCACTGTAACCATCCTCATCCTGAAAAGTGTCCTCTTCATCATCGCCATCATCATCGTTCTCCTCCTCCTCGTCTGCTTTCATCTTTAAAACCTTGGGGGTTGCAACAAATGTTTGTCAGCGCGAGTACAAGACACCGGTTCACCAACCTTGTCGTAAGCCTCGAGAACATGGAAATAAAGTAATAATAAACGAAGGGTGTGGTTTTAATTCTGAGCACCCGGAGAAAACCGAGGCGTGCCAGAGGGCGGCGCTCTATCCTACAAAGATGGAACTGGTGGGATCCACACTTTCTGTACTGCCTTCCCTTGACGGGACAGGTGAAGGCACCTCTTTGACGCCCACGGAAAGAGACTGTCCACAACATTTGCGTGATCCAACAACCCTCGCTGCTGCCTTCACAGCGCTGGGTCACCACACCACCACCGCCACCACCACCGCCACCACCTCTGCAGCCCGCAACGTAGCAACACGTACAGCTAAACTCGATTTTGTCACCTTGCATAGAGGGCTGCGTGCACCGTCCTTGTTCCCTGGCTCTTCCACAACGTCCTGGATGGGAGCAAACGGTTGCGTACGCTCACGATGTTTCATAATGTGTACCGCAGCGGGTAGGCAATCGTTACAATCGCTAACAAACTGGTGGCTCGATTAACTGTACGAATTGCCCTATTTGTTTTGCTTTTGTCGTGTTGGTCACGGGTGTATGGATGGATGGGTCATTAGTCACGGGTGTGCGTGTGTGCGTGGCTGTGCGAGTGAGTGTGTGCTAATGTGCGAATATTGCGTGCGTGCAAGTGTGCGCTCGTGTGAGTGCGCGTGGGTGTGCATGGCGGGTGCCATCACCACGCTGTCCACGCTGGAGTCGCACAAGAACGCCACGCGGTGGCTGCCCCTCTCAGTGCCGTCGCCGGACACCGGATCCGTCACCGCCCGCTCCAACGTGCCCTCCTTTCCCGGCTCCTCGCCCTCCTCGTCCTCCTCCTCCTCGTCATCTGATGGGGAAGAAGAAGAGTTGCAGAAGAGGGTCGGAGAAGAGGAAGTGGTGGGCTATGAGCGTATGGATAGACAGACTCACAGAGACCCACAGACTCACACAGAGACCCATAGACTCACACAGGGACCCATCGACTCACACAGGGACCCATAGACTCACACAGAGACCCACAGACTCACACAGAGACGCACAGACTCACACAGAGACCCAGACACACACAGAGGCCCACAGACACACAGAGACCCATAGACTCACACAGAGACCCACAGACTCACACAGAGACCCATAGACTTACACAGAGACCCATAGACTCACACAGAGACCCATAGACTCACACAGAGACCCACAGACTCACACAGAGACCCACAGACTCACACAGAGACCCACAGACTCACACAGAGACCCACAGACTCAATGTGTTCCACAGTTTGTTGTGGTTCATCACAGTCGTATTTGGTTTATTTATTTATTTATTTCCCATGTCTACAGGAGGAGGCGTTTGCTCCTGCCATGGCTGGTGTGGATACGATGCGATGTGTGAACATCACCACAAGGGAGACAGCGGTGGTCGTGTGTTGTGCTGGCCACCCAACCGCTCGTGTGACGTGCCGGCCTTCATAGGTGCTCGCTAATAGCACCTGCCCCAACAGTCTGTTAAGACTACATGGGGGATATTTGTCTTTTGTGTCCCTGTGCATGCGGTACTACCCATGCGTGGGTCCTCGTGTGTGCCTGCCCGTGTGTGCGTGCCGGTGCGTGTGGTACCGTATGTCTGCGTGTCTGGCTGCGGCAGCATGTAGTTTGACAGCACACGCATGCCCGTCTCCGAGTCCACGTCATTCTGCAGGGGCACCAGGGGCTTGGACTGAACGGCCAAAGAAATTCACGCACAGCAGTGTGAGGGGGCGCGCATCAACGCGCGTCCCGTAACACACGGCAACGGTAAACAACACGGACGCACGGGAGAGCGGTCGTCGCTAAGCCGTCACAGTGAGGCCGCCGTTGGAACGTCCCCCCCAGGTAGTCGCCGTGATCCGTCGGCCGCCGCCAGGCGATGCGGCGCGCGTCACGGAGCGCGTCACAAGAGCGCGACGGTCCGCGAGCGGCACCAGGCCGAGCGTGGCCGTCACCGTGCGGGGCGAGGCCCACGGACGGCCGGGTTAAGTTCCGCATCTACTTTCGATGCTCGACCGCGGGGTCAGGCCAGCCGGAACGCCTGATGGACGAGGCGATACCGGCCCGTCCTACCCTCTGGGGTGAGTTTTCTCACCAGACTACAATCCTCAACAATAATGCTGCACAGCACACGTGACCCGACGTGCTGTTGTCGAGGCTTTGCCAAGCACCACCCGATCACTTTGGTTACGTCGACTTCAATACCGCACTTGGTTCACCGGGGAGCGCGAAACCCGGTTAGAATTAACGTCAATTTACAGCCACTTCATCGATTCAAGCAGTGCGGGTCGCGGGGGTTATGAAACCAAACTTCACTACGCTGGTCGGCGTGGGCTGGTGAAGGCACGGAGCTCAGACGTGGGGAAGTGCCGCCTGCTGCTCACCGCCTAGCCCCAGGTTCAGCCCTGCTTAGCCTACGGGATCTTATTAGATCGGGTGGATTCCACGTGGTTTGGCCATCAGCTCTTCCTCCCAAGGGCACGCAGGTTACGAGTGGAGGGAGGCACACCTGGTTGTCGGAGAGCCAGAGGGCGGAGAGGGAACGCAGTCTCATGAAGGAGAGGGGGAGAGCCCGGAGCCTGCAACACAGGGGGCGCGAGGAAACGTAGGGGGCCGGGGGAACACGGAGAGTGTGGGGGAACGCAGGGGGGCACACGTGAACACAGGGGGTGCAAGGGGAAACACAGGGGGCATGGGGGAATTAAGGAGTTCCACGTTACTCACAAAGCCTCTGACCTCTGCCAGGGGTTCAAATATTCATTCATCAGGAAAGTCAAACGGTCTGTCTGCTCTAACCAGCAAGGCCTCATCGATAATAGTGGCCCTAAAACCAACGGTGGAAATTCCATATTCCAATGGCAGGAGCCAGTTTATGCACGGGTGAAACACAGTTACCTTCTTTCCCATATCGGGAGGAACATGCAATGGTAAATGGAAAGCACAACATGTGTATTAAAGAGCAAACGCAAGAGACACCGCAGGACAGGTCGCTCGAAAAAATGAAGTCCGATGGTCGAGACTAATAATGGAGTGGCAGCCCAAGGGGCAACCCCACGCTCGGGAAAACACCCACAAAATCGATTAGTGTACGGGCGCTCGCCCAATGGTGGGAAACCTGCGTTCCACGGAGCCCCTCTTGGTGGCCTGGTCCCAGTGCGTCTAGGAGCGATGCGTGGGGGTCACGATGAGTGCACAAGCACGGCGTCAAGCTTGCGGCCCACTGAGGCGAAGGAGGGCCGTGCGTGGGGCCCACCGAGCAGTCTGGGATTGCACGAGACGGAATGTGGCATCTCAAAACCACGAGCGGTGGCGACGGCGCGGGGAAGCCTTCACCGGGCAGCGCGTCGATCAAGGCCAACGAGGATGACGACAGCGGGTTTCCGCGAGGGTGGCACCATATGCGTGTGTGCGTGTGCGGACGCGAGTGAGTGTTTGTGCATGCATTGGCCGTGAGCGGGAATTAAACTCGGGGTTCGTCAGGCTTGTAGTGCAGCGCGCTAATCACTAGACTCCTGCTCTTAGGCGCCTGCTAACAACATTTGCTCCAACAAACTGTTAAAGCTATACGGGGGATCTTTGTCTTGGTGTGCATGCGTGAGTGCATGCCTGAGTGCGTGAGTGCGTGCATCGCGCATGAGTGAGTGCGTGAGTATGTGCGTATGCCTGTGCATGCGTGAGTGCGAGCGCGTGAGCGTGCAAGTGCGTGCGTGAGTGAGTGCGCACGACGATGCGGCGGACGGGGCGGCTCACCGGTTGTGCGCGAGATTGAGCACGCGCAGCCGCTGGAGGCTACTCATCTCCGAGGGCAGCCAGGCCAGCTGGTTGCTGGCCAGGGACACGACGCGCACGGCGCGGCAGCTCCCCACCTTCCGCCAATCGCAGGCACAGCGGGGCAAGCCGTCACTCGCAGGCTCCCGCATTGCACAACAACTCGTGAACTCGTTCCCACCAGGGCATCCCACAGGGGAGTCGCCACAGCGGCCAGCGGCGCGACAGGGTTGCACTCCGGAGGTCGCCGGTTCGATTCCATCTCCCGGCGTGGGGGTTCAAACCACGGGGCCAGTTTCTTAACCCCCCCCCCCCCCCAACCGCTCCCCTGTCCACCCAGCGGTGTGAATGGATTCAGCACAGTTGGTCTATTATCAGCAGGCCGTGTGCGGTGGGGTAAAGAGTGGCTGCCTCCCCACCTTTTCCTGAGCCGTCTGGCTGGTGGCGTGGAAGGATAGGCCAGATACCCTCTAGGGAGGGCGCCCTCCAGTGCTGCCTCCACTGGAGGACGTTCCACTAGCAGTGGCGTGAGCCGGCCGCTGCAGGGCTGCGCCGCTCCGTAACGACGCGAAGGGCCGGTCGCCGAGTGGTGAGCGAGGGGCGAGCCTCACCTCTGGGGGGAGGTGAGTGAGGCTGTTGAAGTCGGCGAGCAGCGTGTGCATGTGGTGCAGGTGCCCGATGGTGCGCGGTAGCGTCACCAGCTCGTTGTAGCTGCAGTCAAACTCCTCCAGCAGCAGCAGCCTGTGCAGGGGTCGCGGTGCCATCACCATCAGCACCATCGTCCCAATCGTCCCCGTCATCACCATCATCACCGTCATCGTCGTCGTGATCATCGTCTCTGTTTCCAAGCACTTATAATAACCTTGCTCCATTAAAGAAACGTACGTATGTTGTATGTATGTTAAGCTTGTTTCGCACCGTACGTAGTCAACCGTGCTAATCGGAGGTGCGGGGGAAGGACAACAAAAATGTGTTGTCTCTCATCTGTTACAACTTTAGTCATGCTGCTTGTCGCTGTCCTTTTGGCGTTTTGGGCCTGTGCTGAAGGACTGTATTAAAAATAAATATATAAACCAGCGGCCATAAATGCACTTAGGCTCATGTAGCCCTTGCCCATTTGCTGGGCTCCTCTTGCTGCAAACGACGCCGTTTCTTCCAACGCGACATTATCTGTGCAGTCGCTGGTGACCGGGCCGAGAAGCGGATTCAAACTCAGGCCCCTCAGCGTTGCGGGCCCAACGCTGTTACATAACGTCTATTGGCTGGCGACAAAACCACTATAAAATTGGAACTTCTCAGCCACAAAATGCGAATAACCATGAAAGCCAGCAGACCGTCTCGACTTTTGTGTTTGTCCAGTTGCTTTGTGGCTTGAGAGCCCGGCCCCGATGACGCAATATGCTCGGTTGCAAGGGGCGACTGGATATAAATTTAGAGCCGTTGAATTGTAAAGCCTATTCATCATCAGCCACAGTCAATCCAATGCTGGATGAAGGCTTCCTCAAGCCGGCACCATCGCTCATCCTTTTCAGACGTAACATCCGGCACCTGCGCACGAGTTGATTTAACCGCTCCATGTTCAAGGTAGTCTTTGTCTCGGGCGAGCTCCTGCCTTCTGCTGCCACTCCGTCTCTACGTCTCGGCCGTTGGACAGCGTCCTTTCTTGCCGTGACGAGTCCTGTCCATAACTATTTATACGTCTTAAGAGTGAGAGTGACGTGTACTCTCCGACCCATGCGTTTCCTCTCTACGCCTGTCAGCGGAATATTCCTAACGTGCATATCTCCACGCCTCTTGTGTCCACCTCTCAGCTTTTGTTCCACTTTCTTTGTCAATGCCCAACTAATCCTTGGGCAGAAAGATGGAGAGAGATAGGATCTTAAAATCAAAGTGTGGCGGCTGAGTTTATCCACGCGGAATGTAGTAATGTGGCCGAGCAATTGACGTGGTGAGTGGGGGTGCACGTGGTGAGTGCCCATGTCCTCGTGTATGCCAAGAGTGTGGTTCTGGCAAAGGTTTGAGGTTCGGTTCCAACAGGCCGCCCTGTTTAATGCGGACGTTGTGTATTTTAGGGTTAAAATGCCCGCTGTATTAACCATAAAATACACACGTTGTGCTTCACAGTGAACGTTAAAGACCCTCGTGACGTCATTTCTCACAGTAGGCTGTCGCGGAGCGGCGTGATGATCCACAATTGAAAGACTGCCTGCAAATCACTCAACTTTGGTATGACTTAGTAAATTCCCGGCCTAGACTCAGAGACAAGCTCCCACTTGCAGGCAGCTGTCGAGTCAACTTTTGCCACACAGAAAACAGTTGCCACTGGGGATGCCCTTTCAATGATTTAGAGGAGATGCGATGTAAGAGCTTTGAGTTTGAGTTGCGGAGGCAATTAAGCAAGTGGCCACTGTGCATGCGGAGATGATTTCGTTTGCAGCCAATGCAGGCTAAACGGGGACGTTTGTCTCTTGTATTTGGAGTGCAATGCTTGGGGTGGTAGTGTTACCCTCCTATGGTGCCAGGGAGTTCTGTCAGCTTGTTTCCATCCACCTTGAGTGTCTTCAGCTTCTTGAGGCCTCCTGCCAACACCCGCACAGCAAACCCACAGCGGCGTCTAATTCCCCAGCGCTCAAGAAGGCAACGTGACCAGAGGGGAGGGGGGTAGCTACGCTGCTCGTGGCCGATGGTAACCAACCGCCGTGGAGATGGCAGCGAGGGTTGGTGGGTCACACACAGATGGTGCGAAACTCCCTTCCCGTGGGCGTCGAGGCGGTGCCATTCCCCGGCTCGCGAGGAGAAGGCGGTACACAGCAAGGAATGTGGACACCACCTGTTCCGTTTGTGATCCACTGCACAAAATTAATGGAGGCAGCGGGAGCGGTCGAACACTCAGCTTCACCTGAATCCATCGCGTGGCGTTATGCTTGGATATAGGTCACAAAGTTGATATTTACTGAGCTACACACAAGATTAATCTAAATGTAAAGTACTTGGTGCAGTCTCTTGGGCGGCCGGGTTTATTGCCATGTGGGCATTTGAACAGCATGTCCTCGTGTGCAGGCATACTTGTAGGTATATTCTGCCACCTCGTGGTTTAAAACACTTCTTACTGTATTGTGCACAGCCTTTTTCTCCCCACAAAGTTTACATAAAACGTCGAGCGTTTTGCAATCCACTGCTTAATGAAGGCTTCCTCCCCACCCCGCGTTGGTCATGGGGGTTGATTGACCATACGTCACCAAGGAGACGGCGATCAGTTCACTCCGCTGATGTTAGCCGCGGCCGGGAATCGGACGCAGGTCGCTGGATTCAGAGCACAGCGCACATTTCCCACCTTGCCACTGCAGCACTTTTGTGAGCCAACCGTGTATATCGAGTTCAATTAAACGTGAAGAGTTACTCTCCTTGAACTGCAGACCCGAGAGTGTTTTCCCTCCCACCCTCCCCCCGAACCGCAACTGACCGAGAGATGCAGGCAGGCACGGCAGCTGATTGGACGACAGGAGGAGGTCCTGCAGGTCCTGGCAGCGCTCGATCTCCGTTGCGACGGTGCACAGACGGTTCTCGCTCACGTCCAGGTAGCTGAGCGCAGCCAAGTGCCCGAGCATCTGCAAGCCCAGCAAAGACTCGTAACGTTACCGCAAGACCGTGGCGCAGGTCACCTTAGGGACTACATGCGAAAAAAGACGGTCCCGATGACTATGCCAGCAAATGAGTAAGGCAATTAAATCATAATCTGACTTGTGAGCAGTCGGCTAATTAACTTAGAGAAGCGAACAGTAAATCGGGGAGCCAAGATGTTGTGCAACCGTTGGGTCAGCATTACACCCGGCCAGCCAATAACACGGTCATGTAACAAACCAACGATTTAACTATCCAGATAACTACTCCACCAACTAACAACAACTACTCGAATAATAAAACATGTGAAGGCTAGGGTTGGCTTTCCCCGAACCATTGAATGTTCAAATCAACGGTGCTTATTTCAGCCAAGTAAGTTAAGTGGAAACCCAGCGAGTGAACCAAGATTTTGTGGAAATGTTCTGGATTGGTTCGGGACCTCTCCGCGGCGTCACAGGAAAGCACATGCCACGCGAAACACCGACACGACGGGCAGCGCGCAGACGTGTACCAGGACAATAAATGAACACAATCACGCAACCAAGGGCAGCAGCAAAGCTCAAAGCGGAACCAACGCAAGCGGAAACACAACAGTTACCATTCGTTATAGGCCCTAGGTTGGTGTGCTCGCAATTCCGCAAAGCACGAAAAAAATGGACAGAAATCTATATATTGCTTCGGACGAAAAATGCATGTTTTGATGTTATTATATCATAATGTAACAAACTTTGTAAATCCACTGCCGGTTGAAGGCCTCCCCACACCGCTGTCGGTCTAGGGGTTGTTTGATCATACTTCAACAAATTGGTCAGTGCGGGTTGGTGAAAGAGGCGGGGAGGAGGGACGGCCCAAGGACCGGTTCAATATATCACTCGGCGCTGATGTTAGCTGCGGCCGGGAATCAAACCCAGGTCGCCCGGCTCATAGAGCAGCATGCTAACCACTGTGCGCCCGCTCCACCCAGTATGCGTTTACAACGCCTGAACGCTTGTATACGTTTCGTGGGCTGCGTATTCCTTTGCAGAGCAGGGAGTGAATCCTAAACCAAATGTTCAACAGGAAAGCGACCTGGACGCCGAATAAGGTCGCGTAAATGGGTGACCTCACGCTACAAAATGTTCTCGAAAAAAAAGTCGCTCCCTGCTCCCACGTCGACTGGGCTCACCTGCTAAACGCCACCGAGAGAGTTCCCTGGACAGACGGAGAGAAAGAAGGCGCGTGGCCAAGAGGGGGGAAACTCAGCACACAACTTCACTGTGGCAGCATCGGGCAGGACAGAGCTGAGGTCACCTTCACCGGGATGGGTCATGTACATTGTCAATTGTGACAATACAGGGTGATCCATAATATTCATTTGTCGATACCTCATCGATATTACAGGGATACATGAAAGAGGAAACAACATTTTTTTATACTCTTTGGTTCTTTTGGTAAAATCTCGTAGGTATAAAATAAAATAAATTAAATCACAAAGCCCAAACACGTCTCTCACCAATCTTAATCCACTTTTTTATATTTTAACTTTCTCCTCTGTAAGATATGCATACCTGTCAACCCCTTATCAGAGCCTACCTTATCACAAACCAATTCACACCTTATTGGTAACTCCGTGCCTTTATAAATCTCAACGTTCATCCTCCAAAGCCCCATCACAAGGGATAAACACAAATAGACAAAAAATTGTTTGTTGTTGTTGCTCGCATTGAAACGGCTGTACGATGTATGGACCTGAAAACTCAATTTCGCTCTACAAGAATACGGGTAAACCGTATGGGTTGACAGGTATGGATATGATAGCTAAAGCTTTCACAACAGTCAATCACCTGCTAATAAGAAAACGGGATAGAAATCAGTGGGGTGTCTAGGAATGTATCACCATGTGAAAGATATATTGACACATGTGTGTTGTCTACAAGCTCAAACAGGCCAGTTGTGAAGATTCTCAATTCCCGTGGCCTCCAAGAATGGAGCGCTGAGCTAGGGCTGCCGAGATTCTGGGTTGGAATCCAGGTTCCAGCCGCCTGTGATTAAAACCGGCTTCTCAGTAGACTGGGCACGCCTACTTGGCAACAAGCTGGGGCCGTAGTTACCTCTACAACTGTTCTCGGCTTCTGGAGACTACATTTCAACTGACCCCCATTACAAAGGGTGTTTCTCAAGGCTCCATCCTGGGCCCCAATTTGTTCTCTCGAATCCACTCGGGTATAAATTCATATATGCCGAGGACACAGGCAACATGGTCTCCACAACATCTTTGTACGATCTTTACTCCAAACTCCGACGGGATTTTGATCTCCTGCAATAACAATTGACAGCCCTGAGACTTGTCCTCAGAGCATTCTAAATTATATGAATGCTGTTTCAAGTAAACAGGAGGGTGCCCCTTCTCCACTTGTATTTGTTCAGCAAATTGAACTCGTTGACAATTTCAAATATCTGGGCGTTGATCCTAGATTTCAAAAATGTCTGTGAAAAAAAGCTTCATATCTCATCGGATTCCTCCAGCATAAATATATTTTCTGATTCAAAACAAAACTTGGTTTCCTCTACAGAAACCAGCATTGTATTCCCCTCCATCTCAGATTGGACATCGTCAGAGGTACTGTGATGCGTTCTGCAGGCCGGCTGCCCAAAGACGCTTGGACCCCTGCACCGCGCGCCCCTTTGTCTAACACCGCACGCCCCGTACAGAACGCGCACGGCCACTACGATCTGCACAGCAACAACGCAAACCTCACTCTCCCTGATACTCGTAGACAGTGTCACGGGGCATCATCCCTTCTCACAATCCTCCACAACAAATCGGCTGATCCCCTCCGTGACGGCCTCTCACTGGAGTCCTCGTCGCGTTGCCTTAGCAGCTCCTCCAACCTCTCCTGAATGCACCCAGAGTGAGATCCGGCTACGATGAGAAGTCATCTTGCGTTGCCGCCCCTCACTCTTGGAACGAGCTTGTTTCGTGCTTTTGGCTTAAATCCTTGCTCCCTTCCCTGGCCTTTTAAAATTCCTTCCTTGATTGAAGATCTCCCTTTTCTTGCACATGTGGTCAGCAAACTCCTGTTGTTTGTGTTTATTTTCTTGTCCTTCCCCTGCACCTTCGATTAGCATGGTTGGCTACGCACGGTGCAAAATAAGTTCACCATACATACATACAAGTTGGTGTAATATTTCTGCTATGTACTACATCGCTACTTTGATGCGCTGCAACACCTGCCACTGTTACTTGAGCGGTGCATGGCTTGAATGTTGTTTTCCTTGAATGTGTTTGCAGCACAGTGTCTGCAATGTTCGGATTCATTTGCTGTCACTTTCTTCTTTTCACCAAGGTCCTCCGAGGGTCACTCGTGAAACAGCTCAAGGCTGAAAGTTGACTTAGCCCAAGTCAACAAATAAAATAAAATCGCATCTAAAGCGGAGTGAGTTTATGGTCTCAGCCTGGCCATCTGGTCACGAGAAGAAAAAAATACCTTGAGATGAAATTTCATTCTGAAGTTAATTTCGTAAGTTATTCGAAAAAGAATAGGCCATGTGCACGCCATCATGGTGATATTTTTTCCAATGATGAAAATTTACATCGCCCCCCACTGGCAGCCTACTTGTGACACGGGGCCTTATGCTGAAAGACTGCCGCGATCACCAAATGTACGAAGATTATTTTTTATATTATTAGTAAGCATCGCTCAATGCCATGGTTCTCAACTAATACGGTAAGGCGGCCCCCTAATCAAGACCACTGGTCCCAGCCCCACCCCCACAACCCCCCGTGCCACCTTCCCCACACCCCCTCGCACGTTCCAAAGGCCACAACACACAGGGAGATCACGAGGCCACGCCTCTGGTCAACGCAGCGTTGGTAAGGCACGTGCTTTGTGTTGTGTTTGTGTGTTGCATTTTGCAGCCTTACGCCGTACCAAAAAGTATTCGGGGGGGGAGGCAGCCCCCTAACGGTTTGAGAATCACTGGCTTAATTCTCGTATGAGCAGGGAGACACCGGGACCTCAGGTTCCCCGGATGGCGTGAGCACAGCACGTACCGCGGGGAGGATGAGCAGAGAGTTTCCGTCCATCAATAGCTCCTGTAGGGTGGTCAGCTGCTGCAGCACTGGCGGCTGACATTCACACACACGCACGCGTGCGGACCAGATGTCATCGTTATGACCATGGTGAGGATCATTCTTTAGGACAGCACGTTCTATCAGCCGGGGAATCTCAAGAGTGCTTTAACACACGATAAGACTTTCATCTCAACAGCGCAATTAAAAGGGCAGCCCCAGTGGCAGCTGTTCCTGTGCAGCACAAGTGACTCAGCACCTGGCCTTCCGAGCGGGCATTATTTTGCCGGTAGGGGGCGATAATTATAATTCCGCGTTAGATCCAATTAATATGCGGTGTAATTTTTTTAAATATGGCACATTTGGACCATGACACCGATAAGCAATGGCCTACTGGGTTTAAATTCCATTGGGGGATCTTTAACAACCGCTACGAAGCAAACGACGCCAAGTACTTTACAGTGAATACACCCACACTATTTACTTTGGCGGCCTGCCGAATGCACAACGCACACATACACAACAGCAGGGCTCTTCAGCCATGCTGTGCGGTGGGCCACAAAATGAGGGTGGGCTTGGCGAGCCCACATGACGGCATGACGTTTGTGCGGCGGCCCTCACCACGTGACTGAAGTCATTGCAGCCCAGGTCCAGCCGTCTTAACTGGCTCAGTCGGTGCATAGCCCTGCCGGGGGGTCATAGGTCATAAGGCATAGGTCAGAGAGAGGCAGAAGGTCAACACAGTTTTGGCGTCAAGTCCGAGAGGGGCCATCGCGGCCAACGTCAATGATGACAACAAACCTCAAAACGACTTCCTTCACTCTGCTAGATTCAGCAGCTTTTGCGCAATCGATATTCAACCTGCAGGTTGGGTCTGGCGTGGCCCAGGAATGCGCTACGATGGAAAGAATGGGTTTCTCTTCAGGATTATATCACACTACAATATGGTTACCAAGAGTGCAATGTGTCAGTAGCTCTTGATCATTTTACTCGTCATACAAATTAGTTCACGCGTAATAAATGTTTGACTTTGAAGGGTTTGTTTGTTACACTGTATCGACTCACGGGTACCTTTCAAAGTTTCAATTTAAGACTGCTGGAAAGCTGTGGCTACACGCGTAGCGTGTAATCCAGCTTGTGAAACTCTCTTCCTGTGGGCGTCGAGGAGGTGCCATACCCTGGTTCGCCAGGAGAGGGCGGTACAGGAAGTGGACTAATCGCCACCTGTTTCCAATTTTATGGAAATAGAGCATTGCCCCATCACGCTTCTTTCATTCTCTCCGGGTGCTCTGATTTCCTCCAACACGTATAAACACGTCATTCATTTGCTAAAGACATCTTAAATTAAAACCCAATGAAGCAGGACCCTCCTGAAAAAAGAGTCCTATGACTTCCCTGGATCAATAAGTAAATTATGTATTATTATTTTATGTTCATCTAGGAACATTCTTAAAATGTAATTTCTATCAGAGCCCCATGGTACATCGTGGAGTCTTCTATCACTCAGTCTCTCTGACCTCTCTATCTCTCTACAAGTTGTCTGAAACGTTGCCGATTACCATATTCTCTGGATTATAAGACGCAACTCGAAAATAAAATGCACCCTAAACTTGTGCCCGGTGTCAGTAATGGCTTAGAAATCTGGAAACACACCACACGACTACCAGATTACAAGACTCACCCTCAATTTTTACTTTAAAATACAGGGGGGGAATAAAAAGTGTCTTATAATCCAGAGAATATGGTAGATCTCTGTTCTTGTGGGCAATGTCTCTGGCGGGTGAGCGGAGTGCCGGGCAGGGCTCACTTTGGCAGCGAGTTGAGGTGGTTGTCCCTCAGCTCCAGCACGCGCAGCTTGCACAGCCTGCGCGCAGACACGGCAGCAGCCGATTGGCTCTCAGCCTGCTCACCAATGGCGGCACAACAGAGCCGTCCGTCCCTTCACGCACGGCTTTACCTCGAGCTGAGGCCACTCGTCGATTTAGTCGATTAAGCAACAAATTATTGCAATCAACTCCTCTTTTACGGTGGACTACTCAGGCTCTGTTAAAAACAGACATTCCCCCCCCCCAATATCCGACAACTTGAGTGCAGGAAACCTCCTACAATCACGCTGAGCACGACTCAGCTCAAAATAACGTCACCAAACCCCATCCGTGACCACCCGTCCAGGGGCACACGTGGGAACAAGAGATTCAACTGTTTTTTTGTATGTTTAACACGTAGGCTTTCGTGACCAATATCATCCATAAAAGAGGTTTTTGTGGGTTAGGTCGCGTAAATATATAAACGTTTTTTTCTCCAAATATGTTCGTGCTATCCGACAAGTCGAGCAGTCGAACCAACAATCGGTGGGTTAATCGACAAGTTGAACAGTTAGATAGCCGGGTGGTAACTGCTGCGTGACCGCGTGCGCTCGCCGATGCCGCCACCGCCGCTGCGTGCGTTGTGCGAGGACTCACCGCCCCAGGCTAGCCGGCAGGAACTCCAGGAGCACGTCGCTGAGGTAAAGCTCCGTCAGGCTCACCAGCTGCGTAAGGCCGTCCGGCAGCCTGGCGGCGACACGCGTATTACGCCGCTCGGGACACTTCGCTCAAAGCAAAGGGGCAAGTACCACTGGCAGAAGGGCCACCGCCATCACTGCACTCAAGGGAACTTCAAAAAGGCCCTGCTAGGCATGTTTAGCCTACTATTTCACGCTGGCCTGCAACGTGTGGCCTCAGCGATTGATTTCAGGCTTGGCTTAGTTGACAGGGTTTGTGGCAAAGAAGTACGACCACCAAGTAGCTCCACAGATGGGAGAAACTACCGAGAGGTCAGATGACAGCGTGACACCTGCTTCCGTCCTGGCCTGTACCAGGCCTGTTAAGGCTGGCTAAACTTTGTTTAGCACCAGAGACAACAATGGAATGTAATGCAATCGGCATCGCAAGGCATAGAGTTACACTAAGAGAACAGGGATCATTAATAAACAAGAGGAATCGGAGAGCGGACAGGACTCGGGCGCAACGTTCGTCAGCGTTGTTAACAGATGGAGCAATTGGATCGACAGGGTAACGTGTAAGCCATCCTTTGCAGGGCCAAACTGAATGAAATGATGAGGGTGGTGCCAGATCGAGGCTGTGCAGTGAGTGGGCGGTACTCATCTCAAAGGCACCCCCCAGGCAGTAATGAGACTGGATGAGGTTTACTGGATGGTGTTCAACGTGCCGCCACTTCCCGACACTCCACACCCGACGCCCCCTTGCCCACTCCCACCAATCCACACTGACCAGCATGGGAAACCATTAATCCGTAAGTGGATTGACAAATGGCTGCGCATCGTTATCGAGTGTGTAGAAATTATCCTGCGGTCATTCAATTGGTTTCAAATGTTGCAATTAAGTCACCTGGAGAGTGTGTTGTTGCTCACATTCACCACACTCAGTTGCCGGCAACTCCTGATGTTGTCTGGGATGTCCCTCAGCTCTGCGAGGAAAAAAAAAGGCCTCCTGTCAGTCCAACACCTCTCAACTGTAGCCCCATGACCACATTTCCTCCGTGACATCTATCCAATGTGTTGCCAGGTTGCATTGCATGTTGTTCGGTCTTATGTCCGAGGAGGAGCATTACCCTAGCTCACCAGGGTATGGGTCCTTCTCGATGCCCACGGGAAGAAAGTTTTACAAAGTTTGTGCATTGCACCAACCCTGGCTGCCTCGGTGCTGGATTACAGCGGGTGTGTCGCCACCGCCGCCCGGCTAAACATCAGCCCCCACGGGCTTACCCCTGGCTGTACGTCACGAGTGTGCGTGCGTCTCTCCTTGCCATTACGACTTGCGTCGATGCGACGCAGGCCGGCCAGGCCTCCGATGGCAGGCGGCAGGCTGGCCAGGTCATTGTCAGCGACGCTGAGAACCCGCAGCAGAGGCAGGGCGCACAGCTCCTGTGAACGCACGGACAAGGTGAACACATGGACAAGGTGAACACATGGACAAGGTGAACACATGGACAAGGTGAATTCACGGACAAGGTGAACACATGGACAAGGTGAACACATGGACAAGGTGAATTCACGGACAGGGTGAACACATGGACAAGGTGAACACATGGACAAGGTGAACACATGGACAAGGTGAACACATGGACAAGGTGAACACATGGACAAGGTGAACACATGGACAAGGTGAATCCACGGACAGGGTGAACGCCCGGACAGGGTGAATGCACAGATAAGGTGAATGCATGGATAAGGCAAAGCGTCTCCTCCCACCGTGCGCTACAGCTAAGGCAGCGCACCGAATTTCTGGGCTCGCTTGCTGATGATGTTCAGAGCAGCTTGAGCCGAACGTCGCCGTGCGTGGAAGTGGAAATCAGCCGTGAGAGGTCTCAGGCCAATGGCGAGGAGCTTCATCGGTCAGAATTGGATCAATACACATGTGCAACGTGTGCATAATAATACTGTGCTAATGTGACAATATAGTCGCGTAGAGGTGGGTTAATGACAATAATTATGGCATAACACTACCGCCATGTGACCTAACCCAAATACGTGAGTATAAGTGCTTTTTGATCCGTATGTTTGGTGCTGTGACAGTTCCCCGCTTAAACGCACATGTGATAGACGAATAAGAGTTGAAAATTCTACATTTGCATGGCAGGACAACTTCTGGTCAGCTATTTACAAAAAAAGGTGTTTTTTATAAGTAACACACGGAGTTTATAAATAATAATTAATAAAATAATTAATCGCCCTGTAATATAGAGTTGAGCGTGTAAGATGATCGCTTTTCAAAATACAATAAATAAAATTTAAATATAGGTAAGGCAAGATGGCTTCATATTTGCCAATGAGCATGAGACTTTAACAACATTGTGTAATTAAAAAAAACAAGTTTTAGCCTTTCTGGCAATTAAACAGTTGTGTTAAGATGTGAAAACACCAGAAACCTTTAGGAAGGAATAATGTCTACATTAAACACACACTTGTGTGGTTATTTTTTTCCACACAACCCCTACCCAGCCCCCCCCCACCGAGTACGCTGCGTCATTGCAGCGCTGTGCGGACCACGTTTCGGTACGGAGACACGTGCGTGCGTGCGTGCGCTTGCTCGCAACCTTTGGCAATTCCTGAATGTAGTTTCCGTCCAGGTGAATCTCTTGCAGAGACTGAGCACTGGCTGGCGTGTACACTTGCGGGGGGACCGTGTGGAGACGCGTATGGGAGAGGTCAAGGATGAGGCTGCCGTCATCGCCCTCCCCATCCTTGATCCCACCTCCTCCTCCTCTCTCCCCACTGCCGCCACCGCTGCCACCACCACCCAGGCACGAGCACACCAGCCGGGGAAACGAGCGCTGCTTGCTCTGCTTGGTAAACATTCCTGTTTCACGCACGCACACACAAATGCACGCGGCGAATAGACAACAGATACTCTAAAGCAGGGGGTCAGGAACCTGTGGCCTCACGACTTTGATTTATACGGCCCACGACTTCATTTCAAGAGGCCTGCCACTTGTAAAACAGCCCAAAAATGACGATTCTCCATCAATGAAAGCATCTTAGCCACACTAATCGGGTACTCGAGATGAATATTCTCAATGTGGCTGCAACTTGAAAGCTAAGCAAGATTAAGCTTAATCTTCTTGTGCAGAACTTTCATGTTATCCCGTAGAAAACATCAAATTCCTGTGGCTTCTCTGATTTCCTGCCACACGAAGCCAAACACTCATTAACGGAACTGGCCAAACATTCCATTACAGGACCCTGCTGAAAAAACAGCCTTGAGACTCAGCTCGGCTGCCCTGGGTGAAGGGCAGCACTGCCACCATCATCGTTTATAACGCGAAATCTTCACGCAGGCCTTTCAAATGTACGCCACAAACCGGTGATGTCATTTTTGTAATGGTTCAGTGTTCGTCCTAGCGTGTTTAAACATGTTATAGACATAAAATGGTTTATGATCGTTCTAACAGCAGGATAATGCAGTAAACTTTGTACGACATGGTCAGCGGCACAGATAAGTTTTATGGAGTTCATAAGGCACGCCTTGGAAGGGGAAGTTTAAAAAAGTCTGGGCCATCGATGGTTTGCTAATTAAAAGTTGAGATACATTACGATTGTTAATAATTACGTAGTTATGCTTATTCTCATTCAGTGTATGTTAAGTTCAAGAACGTGCTAACAAAAATGTAAAATTCCCTGGCTTGAATTAGATTTTCTTTAAATGTGGTAAAATTGTAAATCCATCCGATAGCTTTTACAAGGGCTGAGTGACGCGGAGCGGTTAAGGGCACTGCCCTACGAGCCCAGCCGCCTGAGTTTGACTCATGGGAACTTTTCTAGATTTAAAGCTTTCGTGACTGCTAAGATCCATACTCTTTGGTTCTATTGGGTAAAGTCACGTAGGTGAAAATAAAATAACAAAAAATCACGACGTTTCGGCCACAACACAAGCGGCCTTCATCAGGAGAAGGGACGAGACTGTCTGGAGGACAGTCTCGTTTCACCTACGTGACTTTACCCAATAGAACCAAAGATGATGGGGACTTGGCCATGAGTGGCGAGTGATGTATGCACCGATCTTGGGACGCACCGTTCACCAACTCACACCGATTGTGGTTAAGTATGGTCGACAACCCCACGTGACAAACAACAGTGAGGTTCTTCGTCCAGTCATGAATTCACCGCACATTTTTGGTTGGAAGTAAAAACCCTTCACAAACCTTTGTACTTTGATAAACGAAACCCGCATTCGGCGGAACACAGTTGTGACTCGTAAACCACCCCTAGTGAAAATCTCTCTTTGACACTGATCTCAATAGGGGGGGGGGGTGCTAAGGGAGCAGCGATGTGCTTGTAAGTGGCTTCAACGCGACTCTGTGCGATGCTACTGAGGAGGAGTTGAGCTCTAAGCTTAAAGCGTGTTCAGAAACATTTACCCTTCAGAGTGCACACAGGAGCAAAGTACACAAAACGGCTCGGGCCTCGGCTGGGGCAAGGAAGTGCGTGAAGTCATCTCGCGCGGACATTCCACACTCCCATGGCAGGGCCATCTCTGTCCACAGATCGCCCGTGTGCAGTGTCGCATTGCGTGCGAAGACGATGATGATACGTCTATAATGTCTTCTTGCATATGGCAATATGTTCAGGAGATAAATGCAAATGTTGAGGTCTGCTGGGCCGTGTGTTGTGGTTCGCCGTGTGTTGTTGTTATGGTGCTGGTCACTGTGTGTTGTTGTGTGTTGTGGTTCGCCGTGTGTTGTTGTGTGTTGTTGTTATGGTGCTGGTCGCCGTGTGTTGTTGTGTGTTGTGGGTCGCCGTGTGTTGTTGTGTGTTGTGGGTCGCTGTGTGTGTTGTGGGTCGCCGTATGTTGTTGTGTTGTGTGTTGTTGTGTGTTGCGGGTCGCCATGTGTTGTTGTTGTGTGTTGCGTCGCCTGTCGTGAACTCCGTCTCGCGCTGTTGTCGAGGCGAGCGCCCGGAGTGGACCTCGCCACTGTACCTCCCCGTGGGCCCGACTCCTCTCGCCTGCCGGTGGAGGCTCTCGCCGCCTACACCAACGCCTTGGCCTCCTCTTCCTCCTCCTCCTCCCCGCCGCCGCCGTTGTTGTTGTTTTCTAAGCGAATGAGCACAGAGAGACGGCGCCCGCCTCGACCGAACCGAGCCGCGACACAAACATCGACGGGCAGCAATGAATGGACACCGAGACGCGGGGCCCCGGGCCCTGCATAGACAACACTCAAGGCCCCGGAACCTGCATTGACTACACTCAAGCCCCCGGAACCTGCATAGACGACACTCAAGGCCCTGGAACCTGCATCGACAACATTCAAGGCCCCGGAACCTGCATTGACAACGCGAGCGGCCCCTGAACCAGCCATTGGCGTCTCACGCCACCCCCTGGGCAACCGCACGCATTGCCCTATACAGTATATAAAATAGGCGACGTTTCGGACCATGGCCCTTCTTCGTAGCACGTAGGTAGTCTGTGTTCTGGACGAATATTTTGAGTTTTTTAAAATCTGGCTTTTGCCCTACTGCTAACGTAGAAACACAAAAAAGACCAACGGGAAGTTGAGAGTGTTGACATTTGTAATACAGTAATCAATTCACTGCTGGATGAAGAACTTGCAAAGCTGCCTCCATTTCTCACGATCTCCCGATGTAACATTCCACCCAGCATCTGAGAGAAAAAACATATATAGGACTCACCACTGTGATCTCTACATTGGGTCAAACTTGACATCTCTTAATGTTCGACGGCTTGTACACCAGATATTATTTATTCACGATGTACTTACAAAAAAATCCGCAGACTACCTGCTGGATCTCCTCTCTGTTTCAAAGAACAAAATTGACCTCAGGTCTTCGCTCATCTACCAGCTTCACATTCCCTATTGCCGTACAAAAACCGGAGGAAGGACCTTTGCTGTTGATGCCTCCAGGGTCTGGAATGCTATTGCCAATAAACTGCAACTTGAATCACTACATATGAGATATTCTTAGTTCTTTCGGTAAAGTCACGTTGAAGGGAAACAACAAAATAATATATATTTTATTATTTTGTTGTTTCCCTTCAACGTGACTTTACCGAAAGAACTAAGAATATGAATTACTGCAGTCACGAAAGCTTTAAATCAAAATACCTATGAGATCTTCACTCAAAACTGCTCTAGAGGAGTTGTACACCCCTAGCTGCCACTGCTATTCAGTGGCCTAAAATAAAATAAAATGTTTCGCTCCGGATGACCGCTGCAAAGTATTATCTGTATTTTGATTTAGTGTGCTGATCTTAAAGGTACATTGAAAAAGGTGATACTCCGACTGATGCTCCTGCTGTTTGTGGAGTGACTCATGCAGCCAGCTGTGGCTCTAGGGTTTTGTGTTACATGTTATTTATGTAGTTTATTGTAAAAAATTCGGTCACAGTTCCTATGATCACTGTTACATTGCATTTATGGCTTTATTTTGGTGAATTCTAAAAGTTTTTTGGTTTGGCCATGTTTTTGTTTATTGTTGTACGGAGTTAGACTGATGGCCTTAATCTAAGTTTTCTTGTTGTTGTTGTTGTTTGACTTGCATCCCACTGGGATTTTTGCACACAGCGTTGGTGTACGGTGCTATTTAAGGAATATTTTGATGTTTTTTTCCTGGATTTTCTGTTTGCACATGCACAAAGTCACTTTAAGATGTTTTCTTGTTCATGTTTTTGTTTTTTTTGTTTGTTGCGGTTGCACCCGATTCAAGAGCCGAATGGCTCACAGGACTATACCAAATAAATGAAACTATGAGAGGGCATCTCCTCGGGAGATGCCCTCTCAGACGCGTTCCATTGCTTGAGTGTTGATAACAATACGACGTGATAATGCAGGATAGCCTCGCTGAGTCTCACGCCACACGTCAGGGAGGGTGCTGCTACCTTGGGATGTATAGCCAATTCCGTGAATGACAGTTGTTGGCTTCGTTTCGGAGGAAACCGGAAAACCAGATTTTAAAAACCCACAAATACGAGGGTCTAACGTCTAAAGCGTCTGAAAGTGAAATTTTAGAACTCACTTGCTGTACTGCCACCTGCTGGCCACCTCACCGAACCGCAACCACGTGTAACGAAATGTGTGTAACGAGCTGACTCAATTATATAATTATCCATTTCACGGACACGGCCCAGAGTACTCTATCCGGTGGGCATTCGAGCTGTACAGTACTCTGTTGTACCATACGATGTCTGACGTTTCGCTGCATGGGCTGGGAGCTTCAGAGCAGCATTTTTAGCAAAACGTCGGACATCATGCCGAAAAACACGCGGTACAACACTAAGACCCATCTGTACATCACAACCGTAAAAAAACAAACAGCAATAAGACCCACGGTGTCATCAATATTTATTTGTGCAAAACTCCGTAATCTCACATGCAATTATGAGCATACATAATTATACAGCACAGGAGTACACGTGTGCTCTTGGCATGTATTGTCACAACCACAATGAAGACGTATATAAAATACATTTAAAAAGTGATGATCGTCACGAAAATCTTTCATAAATAACGATAGATATGTTACGGCCCTTAAACAGGGTCACTTCGTCACGTTAGCAAGTTCTACACAATACACATTTCTTCATTGATACATTGCGTTTTGTACGGTTAGTAAGATCATTTTAGTCATTCAACATCTGTGCCATATTGCATGCTAAGCTGTATACATGGCAACGTTACTAATGTTAACGTCAGCTGGTCTGTGTGTGGAGAGGGACCTAGCACAATACCCCGAGACAAGCCAAATGTTTTAGATCAGGGGCGACCAAAGCTCCTGTGATCCTCCGAGCTACAAACCAAACACTCCACGTGGCTGAGCTCCCAAAACACGCGGGACTTTTCACTTGATTCATTTCGCTCGTGCTGATTGGCTGCGGGAGTTTAAATATAGAAATCCGCAGAAACTGCCGGGGAGTTCAATTATCTGGCTACGCTGCAAGAGGCGAGCGGTCCCGGGCAGCAGCTGCTGCTTCAACAAATGCTTATTTTCTTCTGTTTCACATAGCTTTACATCAAAACGTTGCATCTCAGCAGCCTCGGTTGAGCGAATTACCTGGATTGGGAGTCGCGGTTTGGCCACAGCGCTTATGCACAAAGAGCACCGGAATCCATTGTAATTGGAAAACAGGTAAAACCGAGAGGCCTTCAGGTTTCCGTGACAATTCACGGTTTAACTGCTCACATCCAATGTGATTATTGCTAAAGCGTAACTCCAATGTGATTATTGCTAAAGCGTAACTTGATGGATGAGAGGTGATTATTGCTTCTCAATTGCACGAAGGGCTTAATTTTAGCCAGGCCTGGCTGAGTTGGCGAATATTTCCACACCCTGCACACCGCATCCAGTACACCTCTACCGATAGCTGTGGTAACTAATCATGTGCCACCCAATACTTTCCAGCTCTGAGAAATTAAGCCCGCGATTTCCAGTAAATGATTATCATATATTATCATGTCCCTTCAGTCACTCTCTTGCACCCTATAACGTTTGCAACTGTATCGGCTCACATGGACACCAAATACTTGTTTCGCTAAATCAGGGTATGAATCGATCACACGAGACCATTGTTTTGGAAACAAACCATACGGTATGTTAATAATATGTTAACATTTACAATATGTTAACATTTTCAATATGTTAATAATATGTAAAACTATTCCCGAACGTTAATGCGGCAAATGTAAAGCAGTTTTAGAGTCAATGCTTCATTAAGCCTTGTCACAATAAACTACAAGTACAAATCATTATATTTAAACACACAACGAACAATTGTTCTCTCAACTAAGCAACGCATAACACTGACGAATGACATGTCAATTACTTAGTCATTAAATCAAATGCGTCATTTGCTGGTCATTAACTTTAATAAAAAGTCCATTCTCTCCGTAATGAACTGACGTAAAAAAAATCTAGACTTGGCATCAAGTAACTTTTAATTGCTCTGGCACTAAAACATCAAGTACTTTGATTGGTATTGCAATGCCAATAAGGTCAGTTTAAGAGCCAACTGGAAAATAGCCCAGTGTCACAATTACAAGATTGTAAGATGGAAAAATCATGCATACGCATGGATTTTGAAAGACTTTCCAAAACACATTTGTCCTCGGGAATGTGTTTTAAGGTGAACTTTAGATGTGTAATTCTCTCTCGTATTTTCACATTTATTTTGATAATTTAATCTTAGAGATTAACGAAATAAAATCTGCAAGGCCCTTGGCAAACCTCTTCAGGCTTCCACATCCAGTGGTCGTCGACCTCCCACATCTGCTGCACGGTGATGATGACTGGAATTCAGCTGTATACTGCAGAAAAACCTCAACAAATGCGTCAAGAACACTGTGGCCTTAGAAGAAATACAGGCGACGTTTTTAGAAATGACCCTTTTCATATCATAGAAGTTCTATGTTAAGTGGACCCAGTGTACATGCGTTAGCTACCAGATGAGAGCTGCTTTTTATTTTTGTGTGTTTTGAGCTTCGACTTCCTCATCAGCCCATGGTGGTGGTGGTGCTAGGGTTGCCATCTCTCAGGTACAAAACACTGAAACTATCTCACAATACTGGCAGAGGGGAGAGCTATATGTAGGTGCATTGTATTGGGTAGTGTGTTATAATACAACGTATTTTTCATGCCCTGGGAAAACGTTCACATTTCCCAGCACAGCTGCCCAATATTACCCCTTTTTCCAAAGAAACATCCGAGCTTAGGCAGCACGAGGCTGTCACGGTACGGGCGGTTTTCCATTGGTAATTAACCGTGCCGAGCGATGACCAAACCGTGATACGCTAACCTCAGAAAACATCTGCACCTAGGCTTGGAGTCAAGCAGCGCCAGGGGCAGGGCTAACGACGCTGTGAGGACACGCGCTGCGCGGATACAACGTAACCGTGCCATCTACACGCGCGTATTGTGTGCGACGTCAGTGGCACGGTTCGCCTTCAGCAGTGGGGGGGGGGGGGGACCACCCAAGTGCCTCCTGAGCCACGCCGCCCGGAGCTGGCTCGGCACGGAAACCAGCGCGGCTCGGTTGCGCAAATGTAAAAGAGGAATACGAGGAGGACGAGTCCTGGAAGAGGCAGAGGAAGGCGGCGCCGCTAGGCCGTGCACGCACAGCCGCGTACGACGCCGATGGCGCGGCGCATGACGGTGGCCCGCGCGCCGGACCCGCAGCGCAGGGAGACGGCGCGCGTGACCTCTCCGGCCGGGAGGCACGCGCACGACGCCGCCAGCGCCGTGCCGCCGACGCGGGGCACGTGGAACGAGCCGCAGTGGCCCAGGCAGAAGGCGTTGTCCACCAGCACCGGCTCGCAGCCAGACACCCACACGCGCTGCACCGGCAGAAACACACGCGAATGTGAACACGCGCGAATGTGAACACGCGCGAATCTCAACACACGCGGATATAAAACACACGCAAATGTATTTACGCACAAATATAAACGCACGCAAAATCTGAACGCACACAAGCACACGTAAGTATAAACAATTGTTTCACGTGAAACTTGGGAAACGCGTTTCAACTTGCCTGACCTTCTCGTGGTCACTTTATTATGCTTAAGGCAATCTCTAATGATTGATGAACTCTAGCAATCTCAGCTCTTCCATAGCAATCCCACGGTTGGCCAGGCAAACACAGTTGCCACGGGTAACAGCACCTTCCGCGTCTCACGCGCACACGGTTGCCATGGTAACCCCTCATCTTGCACAGTTGCCACAGTAACGTCCGCCTCACGCATACAGTTGCCTCACGCGCACGGTCGCCTTGGTAACCCCCCCCCCTCCCCATCGCCCCCCTCCCCCCACCTCACGCACCTGCTGGAAAGGGATGGCGCGGCACTCGTCGGCTCGCAGGTCCTGCGCCTGCACGGGGAGGGTGAGGATCCCCCCACCCCTCGCCCCTCCCTCCTTCTCCTCTCCCTCAGCACGCGCCACGAATTCCCGCCAAGAGCGCGCGGCTCCGTCACGTGACACCACCACTGTGGCGTCGACGCGCGCCGCCACGTGGCCGCCACGCGGTGAAGCCTCGACGAGCTCTTTGTTCTGTTTCGCGCGTTCTCTCTTCTGGTCGAGGGCGTTCTCCTTTCTCTTCTCGTTCAGGAGCTTAGTTTCGCTTTTGAATATCGCCGTTTTACTTAACTTTTCGTGTTCTCTTTCTTTCTCTCCATCTTCTAGATTTGTATTTTCCAACTGGCCTGATGAGGATCCCTCCACCTCGTCTTTCATCTCAGTGTAGTCTATTTGTTGTACAATTATCACCTTCGCTGCATTATCTCGAAATAATGTATCTGTGTGTGGTGTATCTGTGGTTTTAGGTCCATCCTTTTTGGCCTCCAGATGTCTTTCTTTCTCCAGCCCCTCATAATCCTTTTCCACTTCCTTGACGTTCTTCTGTTTGTTATCGTACGCACCTCGCATTCGGTTGTCTTCCGCCATCATCGCCACCACCGTCTTCTCGTCATCCTCCTGGCTCGGGGCTGATGTGGCAGATCCGTCATCATTCTCATCGGTCCATGTTGGAGACAGAGGAGGCATCAATACTGAACTCACAGAGTCTCCTTTGGCTAAGAGTCCTGTTGGAGGCGGAGGCAGAGGAGGCATCAATGCTGAACTCACAGAGTCTCCTTTGGCTAAGAGTCCTGTTGGAGGCGGAGGTAGAGGAGGCATCAATGCTGAATTCACAGAGTCTCCTTTGGCTAAGAGTCCTGTTGGAGGCGGAGGCAGAGGAGGCATCAATGCTGAACTCACAGAGTCTCCTTTGGCTAAGAGTCCTGTTGGAGGCGGAGGTAGAGGAGGCATCAATGCTGAATTCACAGAGTCTCCTTTGGCTAAGAGTCCGGCCGCATTTGAGTCAGGAAAGTCAGACGGCGATACCTGGAATGGCCGCTCATAATCTGATGACTCTAATGGCCTGGTTGAACTGAAACCTTCATCTTCCGTCAAAGCAGAGGTCCCAAATAACGTGTGACCCTGTTGCCTGTGAAATCTTCCTCCTTTGAAGAATAATTGCTTCGTTAAAGTAGCAAAATCCACGCTGTGGGTTTTTTGTTTTTCAATCTTGTAGTCAGCAGGAGAGTGACGGATCTGGTGAGAGGTCGACTCGTGGTGAAACTCAGAGGCGTCTGCTGAGTTTGCGTTCCCTGCAGCAGCAGCAGCAGCAAGAAAGATTCGCTTGTACAGGTCAACTTTGTTGCTCGCAACTTGCGTTTTGTGTTGCGCCAAGCGCGCGTCGTGCAGAAACCCCCCCCTCTGCGCAGCGAGTAGTTGAGGCGCCGCAGGTTGTGGAATCTTGCGGCCGGGAATTGCGGGTGACCCCGGCAAATCCAGCGTCGTCTTGATCAAGGCAAATTCACCAGACAGAGGCGAAGACGCCAAGTCCTGACTTGAAAGAGCACCAACGATTTCAGGAGGAGGAAGGGAAACAAGACGAGGATGAGGAAGGCGACGCCCGTGCCAGGAGTTGAACCCGGCGAGAGGAGACGCTATGGCTGCTCCTCCCGTGTCGAGGCAGAGCACGGCCGTCAGGTAGAGGGACGATGTCGCGAACATCGCTCGCGCTCGGTGGTGCCCGTGTCGGGATTAAAGCCCCGGAAGAGTTTCAAAGCGCTGGAAGGGGCCTCAGAGCGACACGGGTCCTCTGGAGTCGGTGTTACTGCTGAGCGAGGAGATGCCGCTCGGTTTAATACGCGACGGGGCTTAAGCCGCCTTAGCCCGATACAAAGGCACAGATCCCCCGTATAGCCTTCACAGAGTGCCGGGGAAAGCGCTGTTAGCGAGTGGCACCTATAAACTTCGGGACGGCACACGAGGGGGTGATGCGGCTCGCCAGAGGTTGTGTTTGCACAACATCGCACCAGCTACTCGTTGAATGCTGAGTCGACATTTGAGATCGTCACTGATGGTGGCTGTGAGCGGGAGTTAATTTCGGGTTGCACACTGAACATTGATAGAAACTTCACTTATTCAGTACTATAACGACAAAGGTCGCCCTATAGCCAATCGCAGACTGTTGGGGCGAGTACTGTTAGCGAGCACCTATGAAAAGACTGTAACGGCACACGAGGGGGTGGGTGGCCAGCACCACGCCCGGCCGCCTTGGTCTCCCCAGTGGTGATCTATACAAACCGCACCAGATACTCATTTGAGGCTGAGTCGACCAAGGGAATGCCCAGGACCGGGACCGGTTCAAATAATCGTCACCGGTGTTGGCCGTGAGTGGGCATCGAACTCGGGTTGTCGGGTTCGTAGCGCAGCGCGCTAACCACAACACGACCGCTCCCAATTAGCTCCAACACACACACACACACTCCATCCCACCTTTGCCACACACTGCCACACACACACCTCCATCCCACCTCTGCCACACACTCCACACACACACCTCCATCCCACCACTGCCACACACTCAACACACACACACCTCCATCCCACCTCTGCCACACACTCAACACACACACACACACCTCCATCCCACCTCTGCCACACACTCCACACACACACACCTACATCCCACCTCTGCCACACACTCCACACACACACACACCTCCATCCCACCTCTGCCACACACTCCACACACACACCTCCATCCCACCACTGCCACACACACACACACCTCCATCCCACCTCTGCCACACACTCCACACACACACCTCCATCCCACCTCTGCCACACACTCAACACACACACACACCTCCATCCCACCACTGCCACACACACACACACACCTCCATCCCACCTCTGCCACACACTCCACACACACACACCTACATCCCACCTCTGCCACACACTCCACACACACACCTCCATCCCATCTCTGCCACACACTCAACACACACAGACACCTCAATCCCACCTCTGCCACAAACTCCACACACACACACACACCTCCATCCCACCTCTGCCACAAACTCCACACACACACACACCTCCATCCCACCTCTGCCACACACACACACACCTCCATCCGACATCTGCCACACACTCAACACACACACACATCCCACCACTGCCACACACACACACACCTCCATCCCACCACTGCCACACACACACACCTCCATCCCACCTCTGCCACACACTCCACACACACACACACCTCCATCCCACCTCTGCCACACACACACACACACACCTCCATCCAACCTCTGCCACACACTCAACACACACACACACCTCCATCCCACATCTGCCACACACACACACACACACACCTCCATCCCACCTCTGCCACACACACACCTCCATCCCACCTCTGCCACACACACACACACCTCCATCCATCCTCTGCCAGACACTCAACACACACACACACACACACCTCCATCCATCCTCTGCCACACACTCAACACACACACACCTCCATCCCACCTCTGCCACACACTCAACACACACACACACACCTCCATCCCACCTCTGCCACACACTCCAGACACACACACACACCTCCATCCCACCTCTGCCACACACTCCACACACACACACACCTCCATCCCACCTCTGCCACACACTCCACACACACACACCTACATCCCACCTCTGCCACACACTCCACACACACACACCTACATCCCACCTCTGCCACACACTCCACACACACACACCTACATCCCACCTCTGCCACACACTCAACACACATACCTACATCCCACCTCTGCCACACACTCACACACACCTCCATCCATCCTCTGCCACACACTCAACACACACACACATCCCACCACTGCCACACACACACACCTCCATCCCACCTCTGCTACACACTCAACACACACACACCTCCATCCCACCTCTGCCACACACTCATTACACACACACCTCCATCCCACCTCTGCCACACACTCATTACACACACAGACACCTCCATCCCACCTCTGCCACACACTCAACACACACACCTACATCCCACCTCTGCCACACACTCATTACACACACACACTGCGCCCACACCTCCTCTTCACTTGCACAGTCCAGCCGTTAATTAGACCACAGCGGGGGTGTGGAAGTCCAACAGAAGGCTTACCATAATGTCCAGATTTTAAGACGCATTTATTTCCGCTGTACAGTATATTAAAGCAAAAGTTGGGGGTGCGTCTTATAATCCGGTCGGTGTGTGTGTGTGTGAGAGAGAGAGAGACCAGATTTTTAGAACTTTATCGATACCTGGCACAAGTGTGGGCTGCGTCTTAATTTCCGGAACGTCTCCTATATGTGATCAGGAGAATACGGTAAGACATATCGGCTATCGGCATTCATTTAAATGGCAACACCGGGAATGCATAAAGTTTAATATCTTTGAACGCATTTTACATAAACGTCAATTAAAATGAATGCTCATTATCGACGGTAAATGATTTATTGAACCGGGTTAATGTGCTGTGTGAATTTTAGATAACACTTTTATCCTGCTCGCAACGATTAAATAACCGATGTCTCCTTCACCTGATGGTCTCTCTACATTCGAACACCAAAAGCATGTCTTACACAACCCATCAGCCGCACGGCCATCTGGGAGTGTAACATTTCAGCAGCATTGATTCAAAACAAGCAAGCTCTGGACCGGTTTCGACATTCACTGTTTCATCAGCAGGGTCAGGCTCGCTTCAATCAATGCCGGTGAAATGCCAGATGTTTAGAGACAAGGACCCCTCTCTCCACGATGTGGGCTCCCCAGTCTGAAGCAACATTATATTTCAATACATAACTCGACGCGACTATTCGCATCGTTGTGGATAATATCCACAACACAAAGGATAAGCAGACAATGTCTCTTGCACATATACGGAGACATGGGCGTGTGTAGGAAACACTGCATGTTTATTTCTTATTTATATTCTCCACAACGGCACTCATGACGTACCTTGCTGATCCCGTGTCCATACTGGACATCTGTGAAAAAGAGCTTTAGAGCTCATCGGATTTCTCCTGCAGTCTAAATAAAGATTCTGATGCTGTATTGAGTTATGCGCACTGCAATGAGTATGACACTCCAGTGTCAGCAGAGGACATTTCAGACAATACATCAAAATATCCACTGTTGTACTGCACAATGCCCCGACGTCTGTGCTCCCCGCCTTCATTCACCCGCGTTGACCAGCGTGGTGAAGTATGGACAAATAATCCCCGCGACCTGCACGGTGTGGGGAGGCCCTCATCCAGCGGTGGATCGGCAAAAGGACTGCATGTCAGTGTTCATTTCTGGTATCAAAATAAAGTGACGGACGCATTCGGAAACTGCTTTTTAAATAATTGCAAAGATGTTCATGACTGCCCACCAAAATACCAAAGCGTGCCGAGAGGATACCTGAATGGCCACACAGACTGAAAATAATTTAACGTAATCACTGTAAAAAAATAAAACTTCAGTCATGTGCCTAATTGAATTTCGATTTAAATAAAATGAAGCGCTGTGTTTGTGTGCTGGCCACTAATCAGATTAATCAAGGAGGGTTAAAACTGTGAAGAGTCGACTTTTCGCATGGCCCTGCTTGCGTTTGGGATTAAAGCGGCAGCTGTGGTTGCCAGAGTACCGTCTCCCGATGGCCTAGCCCTAAACACAACAATTGGCAATAACGCTGAGTGGCAGCAGCGAGCGAAGAGTGACAACATTGTGCCTCTAGAAGAGCGTGTTTATTCAGTGCTCACTCCACGCCACGACACGGTTCGGAAATAAAGCAATCGCGATCATTGACGATAGCATGGATCGGAAAATGAAAAACGGGTTAATGGGTAACAAATGAACCGAAAGTCAGAAGGACCCCTGTTGGAGTGTCCTCATATGAGGGTCAGGGGCTATCGTTTCGAGAAGATGAATCTGGAGGAGCCTCCTCCACAGAGGGTCCCCGAGCGCTGAACAAGCAGCCGCCGCTCAGCACGAGACCCAATCCAGCCACAGATTCATTTTCTGGAGACTTATTCTCAACATAACGGGGTCCGACTAATTTTACCGATAAGTACCACAAACTACTGCAAAGTACTACAAAGCCCCCCCCCCACCCCCCCCACTGAGAGCCCCCCAGCGGCGCCCCCCCTCGCCCACTCCTCCTGATCCCAAGCGCGACCTCCGCGGCCCCCCATACCCTCCCCCCGGTTGCTAGCCCCCTCTCGCGGGCCGGCCCCCCCCCCCCTCCACCGGTGGATGGACTGCGGCGGCATCTTCTTTTACTCTCTGACACGAGCGTCAGTTTCTGAAAAACAAATCACGCGCACGTGACGTTGTCGAGTGATCACGTTACCCGCAGTGATCGCGGAACCATGTGGAGATCATTCAACAATCCACGTGCAGCCCTTTAAGGGCACCCCCAGTGCCAGCTGTCCCTGTGGGGACAAGATTGCTCAGGATCGCCTGGCCTGAAAACCGGCATTTGTCTGGAAGTATGGGGTGATGATTACCCCTATGTGTAATCACAATTGATTAACCCATTCCAAATTCAACGTAACGTTAATGGTGTTTAGCCAGGCGAAAGTCAACTGAGCTCAATTATATCTTTCACTATTTACATTTGGATAGCCATTGTCACTGAGCACATTCAATTTGCTATGAAGCCAGTTAGTTTGTGGTGAATTAAAATTGTTACAGTCCTTACCATGGGAATGTGTCCACCACTGGCTGCTTGTTGTCAATAACGTGGACCTCTGTGAACATAAAAAACGAAAAGTGGCACAAACACTGAAAGCCTCATCCACTGCACTGGGGACAGACGAGCGTAGACTCTAACGAGTTAATCTCTCACTAATTCTAGCCCTACCCCTACATCTTATTAAATAAATAAGCCACATTTTCTAACACTATTCACAGTTAACATCAAAATGATCCCGGAATTAATGTTTAGCACGATTGTGAAGTGTTATCCGTGAGGTGACATCGTTATCGCAACTGCATTTTCTGGGAAATAATTACGGCGTGCAACCGACAGCTTGGGAATCGATGCTCAATCACAGGGTAAAGGTGCAGCCCTGCAATTGCTTTCTCACGCCACTGCTGGCGTATGAAGGGCCTCCACTCGAGGGAGCTTCAAACTGCGGCGCGGGGAGATGGAATCGAGCGGGCGACCTCTGGATTGCAAGTCCGCGGTGCTGACCGTCACACTACGGCAGCCTCCTTGGGAATGAGTAACTTTACACAACGCGTGAGCTTCAGGACCGCTCTTAGTCAGTGGGGGGGGGGGGGGGGGGGGGGGGGGGGGGGGGGGGGTGCGGGGCAAATCCCACCGCTTGGGCCCCCCGACGCCTTAAAACTAAAGCGGAAGTATTACATCTGACAGCGTGACGTCGAAGCGTCCCCCCCCACCCCAAAGCGTGGGGCCCGGGGCAGTCGCCCCGCTTCGCGTGATAATCACGGTGAGCGTGGCCGCCCGGCAGTGGTGGGTGCAGCTGCTGTGGTTGTCCCACCTGCCACGTTGCCCTGGACGACGGAGCGCTCTCTCATAGCCCGCAGGGTGTGGATCCTGAAGGTGTGCCTATCGGCGACAATGTGGCCAACATTACAACACGATCCGTTATGCCGTGTTATTGTAGTTAGTATGACCACTAATGCTACTGCTATTTACCCATGAAAGTCTCACCGAGTCCCGTGACCTTGTTTCAGGAGGGTCCTGCTAATTTTTGCACCAGTCGACGTTGGCGCCAACAATTGCAATTGGCCAAGATCTGTGGTCCTACGTTGGGCAGTTTGGCGAACACGAATGGGGTCACCGGGATACCCGGAGACGACTCAGCCGTGAGACGGGGTCATACTAAATCCCCCATGCAGATGGAATACAGATGGAAATTAACACACCCAATTGCTGTACTGCCACAATACCACGACAAGCCAGGAGAAGCAATGTATCGAGCGTCTAAATGCAACCGCATCTCCAGACGCTTCACAGATCTCGGTGGTGACCTCGACGGCCCACGGGCAGGTGAGGGTGCTTCACACATTCCTGTAATCCACCAACCCTCACTGCCTCCACGGCGCTGGATTGCTAGGCGTGAGCAGAGAGGTCAGTTCGTGATGACCTTGCTGTCAGACCGAGCGCGTGAACTCCTCGGGCTGACCCAGGGGTGACACGGAAGCGCTTACCACTTTTTGAGGGTCCTTTTCCCTGAACACGAACAACACAAGGACACAGCACAGGCAGACACAGACGCGGAGTCTTCCATTAGGGGGGGCGCCCACCTCGAGGGGGCATTGCCGAGAGGAGCGGGCCCAGCTCGCGCAGGGGGCACCAGCGCGTGGATCGTCACTGCGACACAACCGAGGGTGGCAGTGGCGCCGTCGTGGCATCGCTGCCACCGCCTACAAGCCGGGAAAGTCTCGCCCCAGTGAGGATCTCTCCCCATCTCTGGTGGGTCTGTTCGGGGATATTAACTTCAAACTCTCATAATAAACGCACCAGATCCCCATTGATTTTAAACTGATGAAGGATAAGCATTCCATAAACCAGGGAGGCGGCCGCGGTGTCATGGTCAGCAGCACGCTACCGGACTTGTCGTCCAGAAGTCGCCGGTCCGCCTCCATCTCCCGGCGTGTAAGTTGAGACAAATGTGCAAGTTTCTTAAACCCTCCCCACCCCACCTCCTGCCGCCTCTCTCCACCCAGCGGTGTAAGTTGGTTTAGCGCGGTTAGTCCATAATGGGCAAGTCGTGTGTGGTGGGGAAACGTGTACAGGCCAAATACTCTCTAGAGGAGATCTCCAGAGCTCGCTTGAGTGGAGGCCCTCCCATCAGCCAGGGTGTGAGCGAGCATCATTTACAAAACAAAAGCGCTCCCCTCCCGCGCAGTTCAAGAAGAGTTCACAATCCGGCCTCGGACCTCCACGGCATGGCGCTCTGGCCCATTGAATGCACCGCTGGTAGGAGGCAGAGTTTGGCACTTACGTCGGTTGTAATTGAGCATCGTGTCGCAGAGGTAGCTCAGCAGGGGCACCGTGGCGAGCATCCCGATGCCGATCCCCACCGGCACCAACCAGAGCACGTGGGGGCATGAACGCGGGCAATTGCACGGCGCTGGCCCGGTTCCATCCGATGTCGCGTTGGTGAAAAAAAAAAGCAATCATTTAAACTTGATCTCTATAGCATTATTCGTGCAAAAAATGCAATACATCGTGCTTTACAGGCAGGAACAATAAAAATGAAATTCTAGGCAAAATAAAATCACTTTGTAACACATTTCTAGCAAAGGCATAATCAAACTAACACAATAAAATATTTATAATTAAAGGCAAGTAAAAAAGTAAGGTTTTAGATTTATTTTGAAAGTGCTCAATGATTCTGAAGCCCTCAGATCCCCTGGCAGGCCGCTTCGCCCGAGGCTGTCGTCCTGGCCGTCGTTGAGGTTCACGATGCGAGCGCTAACGGAACGGACAGAAATCGCAATACATTATTTGCTGATGCTGCGTTGGCGCTATGTCCTATGGAAGAAGGGCCATAGCTTAAATCGTCGCATGTTATATATATATATATTTGGTTGAAGGGCCACGGTGTTATTGGCGAACGCGTTGAGTTTGTTTTGTTAGCCGTGCGTGTGCACCGCTGGCAACGGAAGCAGCAGCAGCATCAATGGATAACTTTTCGACTCCATGAGCGGATTTTTAACCCACGGACGTCGGCGCCGGGCATCTCCGGGGGTCGAGGATTTGCCCGCAGGAATGCGCGGCGACAGATCCAGAGGACGAACGCTGAGCGCGCAGCCCAACTCGGACCCCCCCCCCCCCAGCTCCCCCACGCTCACGGCTCGAGTTGCACGCTCCGACGCGCGGATCGCGGGTGTCGGCTTTGATTTTAAATCCACCGGAGGGAACGTCGCTCCCTGGTCACACGCGGGTGGACGCTCCCCGCGGATCGCCCCCTCGCTGACTGAGTGACGTGCTGGCTGCTCGTTGCTTTATTTTGTTTGTTTTAGGAAACGGCGTGCTAAGGTTGAAAATCCAAGTCACGGCTCAGCGAATAACAAGACGTGCCTAGGTGTCAAGTCCCCTTGTATCGCGTGTCTTGTGCAAGAGGACAACCCCATTACATGCGCTTGGTTTGAGAGATGCTTTGCTCATTCGATGTCACAGCTTATACATTTGGAGTGTTTCACAATCTCCGCGCGGCTTAATCACCACAGGTTTACTCATTTGTACTGTGGCATTGCTGTGTATGTGTCCGCGGTTGTCCTGTGTAGAGCCCTGATGTATAAATATATTTTTCAGGTTGTGCCGCTCTTTGTTCGCCAAGATGCCCGGCGTTTCGCTCCACGTGCTGGGTGGGAGCTGAGAGCCTTCAGCAGGTAAAGTGTGTGAAACGTCGGACATCGCGCCGAACAACAACAACGCTATTTCCAACCCAGACAGACATCCGAGGGCTTAGCCATTCTCTCCCTGAAATGTAAACTCCCAGCGTTTCTCAAGTTCCCGCGACTCCCATGAACCGAATCGCTCGACACTGCATCACGACCCTTGCCGAAAGTGATTGGTGACCGCTGGCCGCATTACCAGCAGTGGACAGTCGTAGCAAAAATATCAATTGTTGTGCTGTACTATTCTCCAACGCCTATGCTCCTGGGGCTTCGCCAAACCGAACTGACCGATTTGGGCGAGACAACGTTCGAACAGCCCCGCGCGGCGTTGGGAGGCCGTTAGCCGGCAGAGAATTTGACGGAACGGGCCGCGTTTGCGCACGAAGGCACCGCTGGAACAATCAACCGTCCCGGAACATCATCAACGGCCGACGATGCCCACATCTCCCTCGTGAATAGAAAACTAAAAACACACAAAGCCACAGAAGTGAGACTGTGGCCATGCAATCCGAACTTGCGGACCAGATAGTAAAGCCACTGTGGTCTGCGCTTCCTTCGACGGCGAAGGAGGAGGAAGAGCAACGCGACGCTGTCTCTTCTCTCTCTCTCTCTGCTGAAGCCCTCGCGTCGTGGAGAGCAGCAGGAGCTCGACGTTGGCATCGAGCTCCTGGACACATTGCCGAGGCCGACATTGCGCGCAAGCATGGAGATTGTGCACGAGCTGCAGAGCAACGGCGATGCCCGTCACGCTCATCTGGGTTTCCACTTGGCGGCGATTGAACGGAATATCTACCGCGTGATATACGATCCACAATCATCGAATTGTCCGTTCGGCAAGGTTATCATGGTCGCATTGTGATCATCCCAAATACACCACAATAATGTATGACAATGATCGATGATGACCACGGTGGTTGGTGGTGCTGGTGACGATTACCCGCGTCCACCCTCAGCTCCGTTTCGAAGGTCACGTGGCTGGAGTGGGCAGAGGAGAGGGTGCAGACGTAGACGCCGGCGTCCTCCTCCCTCGCTCGCACGATGCGCAGCGAGAAGTCTCTGCTGGCCTCCCCGGGCACGTCCATCCTCTGGGCGAAAGCCGCATGGCAGCGCTCGGCGCTCGGTGTCACCGGGGCTTGGCCGAAGGTGGCGATGGACACGAAATCGTCGTTCTGCAGGTCTGGATACCATCTCCAGGTGCCGTTCCGCTCGGAGGGATTGCCCGACGGGCACGGCAGAAGAACGGTTTGGCCGGCGGTCGTCACGACGTTGGAACCGAGAGCTACCAAAATAAAAAAAAATGAAAAGCAAAAAAAAAATCCAAAATAACCAGAATGTAACATTCTAGATGATAATGATAATGTCAACCGTTCACGATGCGCTGCCGCCGCACTGTTTTCGCTCGCTCTCGTAGAGAGAGAGGGAACGACTCAGAGACAGAACGACTCAGAGACAGAACGACTCAGAGGCGCGAGAAGGAACTACAGACGAGCGGGAAGGCAGCAGCAGCCACGCGGTGGCGAGGAGCTGGCGCGACCAATAATTGCCCAAGTTCTGCATTCCTCTACTCTATGAGACCTCCTTTGCCAGTAGCAAGATATAGCAATAGGTTTTTACCATTTTATCTGGCACAAAAACTGACACCTTTATACAAGGGATCATGTTTGCAATAACCACAACACAAGCAGTCAAAATGCTAACAAAAAGAGACAACTCTGATAATGATATGCACTGTCTTTGAAATTGATTGGTCCATACCCGAGACAGCCTAGTCTCCACTGGTGTTGGGCGTCTTCTGGTCCAACACCAGTGGAGACTAGGTTCTAAGAAAAGCTGCAAACATGATCCCTTGTATAAAGGTGTCAGTTTTTGTGCCAGATAAAAGGGTAAAAAACTATTACTATATTTTGTATTCCTCTTTATACAGTATCATGGTGTTATCGACCAATTAACGAGCGTTTACATGCGGGAAAGCAACCAGAGCACCTGTAGAAGGCCCACGTGGGGGGGGGGGGGGGGCACTCTATATCATTCCGATGAAACAGGTGGAGTCCACATTTGCCGTACTGCCTTCTGGTAAGCCAGGGCATGGCACCTCGTTGACGCCCATGGTCAGCGAGTTTCGCAACTCGCCGTGAGTGCATCGAAAACAAAAATATCACAGCTCTTGGAGAAACTCCCAGCACATAAAACGGACGTCGGAGATCGTAGGAGCACCACGCATCATAGCCGGAGGCCACATCGGCGAGTCGGCAAAGCCCACGTTTGCTCAGCTTGGGATTCACTCAAACTAAACCAAAACGAAACTTTTTTTTTATTTTACCAGGTAAGAACCACCGAGCTGCATAGCTTTTTTTTTTTAGAAGCGACCTGGCCACAAATGATAGCTCAACGAAGTGGCTTATCATATGGGCACTTATAGCAGTCAGGTACTCTAAAACGGATGAGTCTCAATGTGGAGGGAAAACCCGAAGGACCCGGAGAAAAATCCAAACGACCACTAGGAGAACATGCACACTCCAAATACAGAGTCGACGTCAGGGTTGGGATCGAACTCACGGCCATCCTGTATTCGAGGCGAGGTCGTTAACATCTCGCCACCGTGGCGCCCCACTTACCCGGCGGGAGACCGATGGAAAGAAGTAGAGATACCACGAGAGGCTGCAGACCCACAGCCCACATTGTGTGTGCGTGTCGCACAAATGGGCCGAGCGTGGAGTGAATGCGGCTGTTGTGCGGGAAGCCTCCTGGCAAGTGAGGTCCCTCCGAGTTGGAATCGCCTCTTGCGCTTCACGACGAATTCGCCGCGAAGGGACAAAGGCAACGTCGTGGTTTGTTTACAGAGAAGCGGTCGCCGTTAGATCCCCGAAATAAACTGCAGCTGCATCCTTCACACAAACATAATCTATATTTTTAGGAATGAACATATTTCGTTTTTTTATATATATAACAAAAATATTTCCCCCGATTGTTGCTGTCGGCGTCATGGAATGGGACGAAGAATTAATTTGGGAGCTCTGGTGGAGCCGCGCAACCCTCTGGTGTTTTGAGAGCGGCGCCCCGAGGTCCCTTCACGCGATGCGCATTCACAGCTCTGCTGCGCCCCACCGCTCTGCCTATGAGAGTGACGTTCGCTGGACAACGACGAGTTCCGATACTTTAATTCTCGGAGCTGGCATAGCCCAATTAATTGAAGGAGGGAATTGAATGCGATTGTTTGCGTGAAGTCGTTAGTGACTGGCCTGAGACCATCATCATCTTCGTTTTAAGTTTTTAAAAACTTAGCTTTTATATTTCATAGTTTATTCATAGTAAAGGTTTTTGGGTTAGATCGCGTTTATTTATAAATGTGTCGTAACCCTCCACCACCCGACACATTTATAAATAAACGCGATCTAACCCAAAAACCTTTACTATGAATAATATTGGTCGCGAAAGCCTACGTGTTAAATTTCATAGTTTAGTTATATATGCTCACTACTATGGAGAACCCGCCTTAAACACAATATTTGAACCCAGCACCTAAACCGGTGCTGGCTCAGCGCTTTGATCCTTGAGGCCGGCATGGGAACTCTTCACCTTCTGAACTAACTTCACGAACGTAATCTCTGAATGTTCTGTCAGAGATGTTGGGATAATGGTTGGCATTCCATGTGTGTTTTTTTTATTAAAAGCAAGAGAAACGGAAAGATGTCCGACTTCCTAACGACACAATCACAGTCAGCTGTAACGCAAGTCAACTGCTGGAAATATTAGACGCACTGAATAAACAGATGTGTGTGTGTAACATTTGGCTCTGGATAATCAAGAGCAAATCCTACTTTTAAAAAATCGAGTTTAAAGTTGATTTCGTTGAACCAGGCGAGAATTCAAAAGCACTGCAGGATGGGTCTCATTGCACGAGTGACCTGGGGCAATGTCGGAGGTCAGGAGGGGGCGCTGGTTGCCGCTGTGTGCAGGAGCGAGATCCCAAGTGGAGCGATGTGCGGTGAAAATTTCGAATGTGGACAATGGAAGCCGGGCGCGCGGCACGCATTGGCCTACTCTTGCGACTCACGTCAGGGGATCTTTAACCACCACTGTGGATGAAGCAGACGGCGCCCGTAGTATTATTATTACTTCGGTTATTACACCGTGCTATTAAACAGGGCGGCCGTTGGAATCGAACCGCGAACCCCTGCCACTGCTGGGCTACCGCATCACTGCCCCCAAAACAAAGGCCATATCCAGAACAAATTCACTGAAGAAATTGAGATGTGTGTCAAGAGGGACACAAAACACACACACGCAAACACCCAGCAGAATGTCAGTTTTCAATTCAGCTAAACTCACGTTTAATGGTTAATGCGTCACGCGTCAAGGCAGAATGCGATCGCCTGTCGTGAGTTACGTCAGAGAGCGTCTGTGTTCAGGTCCCAAATCAAGCAGTCTCCTACCAAGGCGCTGGACTTGCTGTACGCCGATGTCAGACCAGAAAAATAATGAAGCGATTCGTCCAATTAGCATGGCTGGCGACATACGGTGCGAAAGAAGTTCTACATACATACATACATACGGGCGGGAATATTCAATTTCTGCCCCAAGAGGGAAGTGGTGAATGCACGTTGGGTGTCCTCTTCCCATGTGCACGGCGCTGATAAAGTGGGAGGCTTTATTTGGAAAGGGCACGGATATCTGAAGAGGACGTTATCCCGACAGGCACGTGGGACAGTCCTGGCTCTGTGCAACCCCTTCCCGACAGGCACGTGGGACAGTCCTGGCTCTGCGCAACCCCTTCCCGACAGCACGTGGGACAGTCCTGGCTCTGTGCAACCCCTTCCCGACAGCACGTGGGACAGTCCTGGCTCTGCGCAACCCCTTCCCGACAGCACGTGGGACAGTCCTGGCTCTGTGCAACCCCTTCCCGACAGCACGTGGGACAGTCCTGGCTCTGCGCAACCCCTTCCCGACAGCACGTGGGACAGTCCTGGCTCTGTGCAACCCCTTCCCAACAGGCACGTGGGACAGTCCTGGCTCTGTGCAACCCCTTCCCGACAGCACGTGGGACAGTCCTGGCTCTGCGCAACCCCTTCCCGACAGCACGTGGGACAGTCCTGGCTCTGTGCAACCCCTTCCCGACAGCACGTGGGACAGTCCTGGCTCTGCGCAACCCCTTCCCGACAGCACGTGGGACAGTCCTGGCTCTGTGCAACCCCTTCCCGACAGCACGTGGGACAGTCCTGGCTCTGTGCAACCCCTTCCCAACAGGCACGTGGGACAGTCCTGGCTCTGTGCAACCCCTTCCCAACAGGCACGTGGGACAGTCCTGGCTCTGTGCAACCCCTTCCCAACAGGCACGTGGGACAGTCCTGGCTCTGTGCAACCCCTTCCCAACAGGCACGTGGGACAGTCCTGGCTCTGCGCAACCCCTTCCCGAAAGCACGTGGGACAGTCCTGGCTCTGAGCAACCCCTTCCCGACAGCACGTGGGACAGTCCTGGCTCTGTGCAACCCCTTCCCGACAGCACGTGGGACAGTCCTGGCTCTGCGCAACCCCTTCCCGACAGCACGTGGGACAGTCCTGGCTCGGTGCAATCCCTTCCCGACAGCACGTGGGACAGTCCTGGCTCTGTGCAATCCCTTCCCGACAGCACGTGGGACAGGTCGGGCTCTGTGCAACCCCTTCCCGACAGCACGTGGGACAGTCCTGGCTCTGTGCAACCCCTTCCCGACAGCACGTGGGACAGTCCTGGCTCTGCGCAACCCCTTCCCGACAGCACGTGGGACAGTCCTGGCTCTGTGCAATCCCTTCCCGACAGCACGTGGGACAGTCCTGGCTCTGCGCAACCCCTTCCCGACAGGCACGTGGGACAGTCCTGGCTCTGTGCAACCCCTTCCCAACAGGCACGTGGGACAGTCCTGGCTCTGCGCAACCCCTTCCCGAAAGCACGTGGGACAGTCCTGGCTCTGTGCAACCCCTTCCCAACAGGCACGTGGGACAGTCCTGGCTCTGCGCAACCCCTTCCCGAAAGCACGTGGGACAGTCCTGGCTCTGCGCAACCCCTTCCCGACAGCACGTGGGACAGTCCTGGCTCTGCGCAACCCCTTCCCGACAGCACGTGGGACAGTCCTGGCTCGGTGCAATCCCTTCCCGACAGCACGTGGGACAGTCCTGGCTCTGTGCAATCCCTTCCCGACAGCACGTGGGACAGTCCTGGCTCTGTGCAACCCCTTCCCGACAGCACGTGGGACAGTCCTGGCTCTGTGCAACCCCTTCCCGACAGCACGTGGGACAGTCCTGGCTCTGCGCAACCCCTTCCCGACAGCACGTGGGACAGTCCTGGCTCTGTGCAATCCCTTCCCGACAGCACGTGGGACAGTCCTGGCTCTGTGCAACCCCTTCCCGACAGCACGTGGGACAGTCCTGGCTCTGTGCAACCCCTTCCCGACAGGCACGTGGGACAGTCCTGGCTCTGTGCAACCCCTTCCCGACAGCACGTGGGACAGTCCTGGCTCTGCGCAACCCCTTCCCGACAGCACGTGGGACAGTCCTGGCTCTGTGCAACCCCTTCCCGACAGCACGTGGGACAGTCCTGGCTCTGCGCAACCCCTTCCCGACAGCACGTGGGACAGTCCTGGCTCTGTGCAACCCCTTCCCGACAGGCACGTGGAGTTCGGCACGGTGTGCGTTGTTTTCCATTGGCTAAACGCGGAACTCAGCGAGAACCAAACCGTGATACGCTCGCCGCGTGAAGTGGCATGGCAGTCGCCCTTCCAAGCGCTATCCAGGCTCAACTCTGCTTAGCTTCCGAGATGTCATCAACTCGGCCACGTTTGGGGATCTTCTTCTTCGTGAGTGGAGAGCGGCAGCTCCGGTTTTACATTGAAGTGGTTGCTGAGCCGGATAATTGCGGAAGGGCGAGCGGAGTGCATCGCTATGATGATGCCTCCTTCATAAAGATTTCTGTGTGAGTTTAAGGGCCTCCATGTGATCGATGGGTCTCAGTTTGAATCTATAGTTCTTTGTGTGATATCTACGGGAACTTTTTGGCAGTATCAAATTTTTTTTAAAAAATAAGAATAAGCTTTACCCTTTCCGTCAATAAAACAGGTGGTGTTAATAAGTTCAAACAACAAATAAAAAGTTTAACACGGAGGCTGTCCGCTTGATGATGCTAGTTGTAATTACTGGCGAAACGTCGTACTCGAATTGTAAATGTTGTGGATTGTACTCTCGAACGGACCGGCGTGCAGCTGTACTAGTAACGAATTGGCATGTTTTGTTGACGTGACAAACCTCACTAATTGGCTTTGTCGGGTGGTGGCGTCGGGTTTAACGACGACACCACTTTTATATTCACGTGATCTAACCCAAAACAAACAATTTTATGGACTAAATAGGTAGCTATTGCAAGGCACCATGTCTGTATTAGCCACACGTGCGTGAGGCAAAACATGCAAACAAACATGCTCTGCTAACACACATATATAGAACACTAGCTGTACTACCCGGCTTCGCCCGGGACTTGGATTCACGACGCCCGGCCACCTTTTTCTCCCCAGTGGCGATGTTTACACACCACACCAGTTACTCGTTTGAGGCTGAGTCAACCTCGGGGAGGCCCAGGACCGCTTAAAATAATCATCACCGGTGGTGGCCGTGAGCAGGAATCGAACTCGGGTCACCGGGTTCGTAGCACGGCGCGCTAACCGCTATACTACAATGCATTACGCTTCCACATGCGCGGGTCACGTGACAGATTGACGTGACAGCTCACTTGCCGTGCAAAAAAATAAATGCATTATTGAGCCCCCCCACTCCCCCCCAAAAAGTTTATTTTTTATATTTGCATGGTGTACAGCCTGGAAAGTACCCACATGGCAAATTTCAAGTTTGTTGCATGTCGGGAAGTACGCTAAACATCTTGAACAGACACACATAATCACAACTTTGACTTTTATATATATGGAGATATATCATCATTTTCTTTGACACCGATTGGCCCACACCAGAGAGCAGCATCCTCCTCCATGGCCTTGTCCTCACCACCGGTGGCTCGCTCGTCGCCACCGGAGATCGACGGCAGGAGGCGCGCGCGAGCTGCCCGCGGCGTCGCGCAACGTCTGCGCGCCCTGTGCGGGAGAGGGCAGCGCGCCCCGTGCCGGAGAGGGCAGCACGTGACGTCTGTGCGTCCCGTGCGGGAGAGGGCAGCACGTGACGTCTGTACGCCCCGTGCGGGAGAGGGCAGCGCGTGACGTCTGCGCGCTCCGTGCGGGTTAGGGCAGCACGTGACGTCTGCGCGCTCCGTGCGGGAGAGGGCAGCACGTGACGTCTGTGCGCCCCGTGCGGGAGAGGGCAGCGCGTGACGTCTGCGCGCTCCGTGCGGGTTAGGGCAGCACGTGACGTCTGCGCGCCCCGTGCGGGAGAGGGCAGCACGCGACCGCCGCCGCCGCCGTCGGCCCAAGCGGGGAGCCGCACGGCGAGGCGAGGTGGGTGGTGGGGGGGCGACTGCTCGTGCGTTCGGTTGTCGTCGAAGCAGCGAGCCGTAACCGCAGCAACATCAGCGTCGCCATCAATCATCTTGATCGATCCACTGTTGGATGAAGGCCTCCCCAAGCCGCCCGCCGCCACCTCTCACGATCCCGCGACGCGACGTTCCACCCAGCGCCTGCACACGGATTTATTTCATTGCTCCATCTCCGCGATGGGCGTCCTCTCGGACGCGTTCCATTCCTTGGCTGCCACTTGCGCTACCATTCGTGACCATCGACCGTGACGCGTCTCTGCCCTTCACAGTTTGCACGATGCCATTTAACGCTGCTCGCGTTCTCTGTCTATCCCGCGATGTTCGCAATGGCGAGCAGGCGGCCCCAGCGCGCTCTGAAGTTTCCGTGCCGCATATTTCGTCGTTCGCGAAACCGGTGTCCGTGAGCCACGCATTGGCTGAGCACGGCGAGTCTGGTTGAGGCGAAGCGTCACAGGCTCACTCAGGTACGTCACGGGCTCACTCAGGTACGTCACGGGCTCACTCAGGTACGTCACGGGCTCACTCAGGTACGTCACGGGCTCACTCAGAGGTACGTCACGGGCTCACTCAGGTACGTCACGGGCTCACTCAGGTACGTCACGGGCTCACTCAGGTACGTCACGGGCTCACTCAGAGGTACGTCACGGGCTCACTCGGGTACGTCACGGGATCACTCGGGTAAGTCACGGGCTCACTCGGGTACGTCACGTGCTCACTCAGGTACGTCACGGGCTCAATCAGGTACGTCCCAGGCACACTCATCTACGTCACGGGCTCACTCAGGTACGTCACGGGCTCACTCAGGTACGTCACGGGCTCACTCAGCTACGTCACGGGCTCACTCAGGTACGTCACGGGCTCACTCATGTACGTCACGGGCTCACTCAGCTACGTCATAGGCTCACTCAGGTACGTCACGGGTTCACTCAGGTACGTCACGGGCTCACTCAGGTACGCCCGGGCCCAGCACAATGAATCGCAGCAGCAGCAGCAATTAGCAATGTTCTGCACTCTTATTATTATTATCCGTCTTCTTCTTGTCGTTATCATGAAGCAGCTGATGGGAGTTCCATAATCATCAGCCTCGAGGGTGGCCCCTCTCCAAAAAACAAAACACGGGGAGACATCGTGGGAACAAGAGGAAGAATATCTCACAGGACAGAGAGAGAGGGCAGAGAGAGCTGCGTGTAATGAATTGCCTTGTCTTCAGTGGTACCTGGTTGGTGTTATTGTTATTACTACGCAACTTACAGAGACCGAGACTCACAATGTCCCGGGGAAGACCGACAGGTGTCACGTGACAGCGGCTGCTGCCTCTTCGACAAACGGATGATCCCGGGAAAACGGGGACAGATGGCAACCGCATACGATACGCAGTGTGGGTGTGGGGGGCTCAGCTGCCCCTGCTGAAGGTTTACCCCCCCCCCTCTCCTCTCCGGCCCCCACAATAAACCGGTAATGAAGACAAAAACAACTGCTGGGATGCCGACTAGCACGGCTGGCTACGTGCGGTGCGAACGAAAGAAGTTCAACATACATACAACATACATACAACATACATACAATATAATACATACAACATACATACAACATACATACAACATACATACAATATAATACATACAACATACATACAACATACATACAACATACATACAATATAATACATACAACATACATACAACATACATACAACATACATACAATATAATACATACAACATACATACAACATACACACAACATACATACAATATAATACATACAACATACAACGTACATACAACCTACATACAATATAATACATACAACGTACATACAAAATACATACAACATACATACAATATAATACATACAACATACATACAACATACGTACAATATCATACATACAACATACATACAACATACATATAACATACATACAATATAATACATACAACATACATACAACATACACACAACATACATACAATATAATACATACAACATACATGCAACATACATACAATATAATACATACAACATACATACAACCTACATACAACCTACATACAATATAATACATACAACATAAATACAATATAATACATACAACATACATACAACATACATACAATATAATACATACAACGTACATACAACATACATACAACATACATACAACGTACATACATCGTACATACAATATAATACACCAGACATACAACGTACATACAACGTACACACAACATAACACAACATACAACGTACATGCGACATACATATAACGTACACCGAGTCGCCACTCACTCCGTCCGCCGCCCAACGTTTGTTCAACGTTCGTTTAACACTGACGGTGTCGACGTGGTGCCCCCCCCCCCCCCCGAGTGGTTTGTATGTACCCCCCCCCCCCCCCCCCCACTTAAACAAGGTGACGCTACAGGGCTTGCCTGCGTCCGTAGTGCAGTCTGCTTCGCGCACGAGTCTGCAAGGACACAAAGTCGACGTCCCCCGTGTAGCCCACGCAGCTTGATGGGGGCACGTGCTGGGAGCGAGCAGCACCTCTCTGGGGGGGAGGGGGTGGCCACAGCCACTCCTGGCCGCCTTTGTCTCTCGCCGGTAATAATGTTTGCACGTCATCGCGGGAGCTCCTCGTTATTTAAGGCTGCGTCGACCTCGAAGAGGAGGCCCACGAGTCGACTCAGCCATCAGCCGCCACTGGTGGTGACCGCGGCCGGGAATTGAACCTGGACCGCCAAGTTTGAAGCGCAGTGCGCGAACAACTGCACCGCTCACTGCTCCCCGTGGACACAATCAACACGGACAAATACCCCCCCCCCCCCCGCTGTTAGCGAGCACCTATTGAGGCGAGCAGGGCGACACGCACGCTTAAACCCTAGCCCCCCCCCCCCGCCCGCTCTATTCGAGTTGGGTGGAAGCGCAGTACAAAGAGAGAGGGGGGAGAGAGAGAGAGAGAAGGAGCGAGAGAGAAACAACCCAGGGAAAGGGAATTACAATGTCAGTCACGCACCATAGTTAATTATGCTTGACTGCAACAGAAGCGCGGGCATTGCACGAACTCCCCTCCTCGGCGCTGGCAAAGCACGCGGCGAGCCTCGCAGAGCGCGCTAAGCTGGACCCGGCGAGCCCCCCAATCGGGGCCGCGGACCCCTGCCCATCCTCCCCAAGCTTCTCTCCTCTCCCGCCAACTCGCGACGCTCTGCCCGCCGCCGTCGTTGTCGTCTTTTTGACTTTCCGTTCTTTGCATTCCACAATACCGCATCTTGGTGGAATGAATGGGATGTGTGGTGCAATCCACGGTCACTCGCCCCCCTCCCCCACGCCCCCTCGACCGCCCCTCCCCGCCCTCTCTAGCCCATGGTGATGTCGCGAGGCAGTGAGCAGTGAATGCGGAGCGAGTTATTAATGGAATCGCTTCTTCACCCCCCACCCCCATCTCTTCCTCCTCCTAACGGACTGTGCTTCGTTTGAATAGCAGAGGCAAGACGGGGGTAGAGGGGTGGGGGGTGGGGGAGAAGATGGGGGCAGGGTGAAGGAGATTGGCATCACGGGTTGTGAATGCAGCTCAAAATCCCCCAGCCACCCAGCCGGATTGACCCTGGCCGGATCCACGGAGCCCGAGTCCCGCGTTGTGTTCACGGTGCGTGGCGACGCTGATCGTGCGACATTTCTTTGGAGATTTCGAGAAAAAAAGGAAAACAAAACAAACAAAAATAATCGCTACAAAAAAAAGCCAAGATAATTTATGACAGCGGTTTCTGCCAAGGAGTGGCCGCATTGCTGGACTAATTTCATCGTTCCGAGTGGCGAGTGAGGGCTTTTGAAAGGCGCGCCTGGGCAATGGTAAGTGGCCTTCAGATGGTATTTGTCCTTGAATGTCGATGATTGCCTCCTGATGCCGTTACTGCCATCGCTAGAAGAGGATATTGCAAAAAAACATTCTGCAAAGTCGATTAGTAGAAGCCACAAAGTGGCATTCTAACCTTTTAAATGTAATCATCATACTTGTTCTGATTCACCATACTTAGCAAGCCGCCTCTTGTTCACTTACAAAAATTGATATGTAGAAAGTGTATAACGTTTCAGGTTGCGATTGGGGAGGAGCAGTGGCGCAGTGGTTATAAATCCCGGAGAATTGAGTTCGGTTCCAGGCCACGGCTAACATCCGTGACGGCGAGTGACGCACGGACCGGCAGTGGTGGCCCCGTGGTGGTGCAGCAGCGGGCTGTGTGCCTCGGAGGGGGAGTGCAGGGAACGCCATTGTGACGGATACGCCGATAGGCTTCGACTTCTGTGCTCTCTTCACCAACCCGCACGAACCAGCGTGGTGAAGTGCGGTCAAATAACTCCCGTGACTGACACGGTATGTGGGGAAGCCATCAGCTAGCATTGTATGAACGGGAACTGTAAATTATTATTGTTGTTGCTGTTGCAGTTCGAAAGGTCAAAGCGATTTCCTCCACAAATGAGCATTGATGCATTGCCACTCATCTCGAGCTAAAGCACTGTGTCGGGCGGTCGACGTTCCACATTCCTATGGCGGGGGTGAGTCTATCTGTAGGACAACCGCTTTTGACCTCCCCACAAATTGGTACTGGAATGTATCGACCCCGGCGGGGATGATGGGCCGAGTCGACCCTCATACAGCACTTGAACCCGCGGCCTTTCGCTCGCTCGCCGCCCCGCTCCGCAGCGAGAAACTCTGCGCATTTACAAAAAGTGGTGCTGCGCACTGTATTTGTGTAATGAATATTTGAAAACACGGGGGAGAATAAGGTTTAATTTAATCAATGTCTAGCCCATCCAGGGAAATAACGCAATGGATGGAATATATATTCTTTCTCATTTTGGGAAGTACATTAAAGAAAAAAAATCCTTTTTTTGTTATTACCTGAATCACAATCGCACCAAACAATTCTGTCCGCAGTGTTCCGTTGAATGTTCAAACACATGAGGGGTGCTTAGTCAAATAAGGCGCAGAAAGCCATGAATTTAGATCAGAAAGCACGCGGTACATTTATACCGGGGAAAATCCACAGCAGCATCGGGGACCGGCTTATGAAACGTTCAGTGAATCAGAGACGGCTTGATCTCCCTGCAATGAAAAGAGAAAGGCCATTCCCCAAAACGTCGGCCTACGCGACGTTATATATTTATATTTTAAGACCGCGGTGTCATTCACGAACGCGTTGTGTGTGTTGTTGTTGTTGTTCGTGTTCATGCGCCACTGCCAACGCAGCAGTGTCTCCCCCTGCACGTTGTCTCCGTTATTGTACGGATACCAGATGTGAGAGAAGCTACATCGCTTGTGTTTGCTTTATTAATGGAGGGGGGCCTCTTTAAAAAGCGACATATTTCTGACAACCGCCCCACCTGCCACCATCGGGAATCTTCTTGAGATTCCTCTGCAGTTAACCGTTTGTGATCTCAACATTGTAGCGCAGTGCACTAACCACTCTGCTACTGCTCTCCACGTACACACAAAGACAAAGATCCCCCGTACAGCCTCAACATACTGTTGGGGGCAAGTGGTCTTAGTGAGTAGCACCTATGAAGGCCGGCACGCTACACGAAATGGTGTGTGACCAGCACCACGCCCGGCCGCCTTTTTCTCCCTAGTGGCGATGTTTACACAACGCACCTGGCACTCATTTGAGGCTGAATGAACCTAGGCGAGGCCCAGGACGGGTTCAGATAATTGTCACTGGTGTTGGCCGTGAGCAAGACTCGAACTCGCGTTGCTGGGTTTGTAGCACAGCGTGCTCACCGCAACACTACCGCTCCACACACACACGCACACTATCCCTGGTCCAATCTCTCATGAGCTGCCCGCTGGGATGCGTAAGGTGCAGGTGACTTCGGTCATCTGGGTCACAGCAAGGGGAGGCTATCTACACACGAGCAGCAGGTCAAGGTGTACGAAAGCAATCATCACACAGACACTCGCCCCCCCCCCCCCCCCCCGTATTAACCCGACCGTCCGACAAACGTCCGTAGAATTGTAAAGACGCAGCCCTGCAATATCCAGCTCGCGCCACTGTGGACGGAAGAGGCCTCCACCAGAAATTGCTCCCGAGAGCCCCTCCGCTCGAGGGTATATGGCCTACTCTTCCACGCTGACCCAGACGCCTCGAATAAGGAGTGTACCCACACTTTACCCCACTACACGATTAACCGACTGCGTTGAACGCGTTTCTCATTCACACGCCTGGCTGGGCAGAGGCGTTGGGAGGGGGGGAGGGGGGTAAGAAACGTGGCACCATTGTTTAAACTACCGCGCCCGGAGATCGGCCCGGCGACCTCTGCTAGACAAGCACTAAGAGACACTCATGGCTCACCCTCTGCTGCTCCTGCTCATTCTTGGCGTCCACTCTTGAGGACGCTGTCTCTCCCATCAACTGTGTTCGCTCGTCAACTTCACAATAACAATAAGCGAGCTCATTTTTCCCAGGACTCCCACAGTGTCCAGTGACAAACTCCAACTACAGGCCGGTCAATTTCCTCGCTCGCTCTCTCTCTCTCTGCCCTGAAGAAGGGCCATCGCCCGAAACGTCAGCCCACCGCACAATAAGATTCTCCCATGATGAGGCGGGGGAGAACGCTGGATATGTCGAGGTTGCGTCTCGCGCTGTGCTATGTCACCGCTGCCAATGGCAGGGCGCCTAATTCGGACGTGAACGTTTCATAAACAAGAACTCCTTACGTTTTGCAAGGTCAGTGGTAAAGTTTTAAACTTGCGATTGCACTCTAAGTTAAGATTAATTCGCACCGAATGCTTTTGTTGGGTGGTTACAGAACATGCACGCTCCTCGCGGCTTTCCCGTTTATCTACTTCTCAGTCTGCTCACGCTTATCGCGGATGATTTTCAGAGCCGCACGTTTCGACATTCAGACGCAATAATCGGTGCTCTCTGCACTGCACGGGGCCAGTAATCCAGCGGTGCTGTGGAGGCAGCAGCGAGAGTCGGTGGATCACTGCAGACAGATGTTGCTGTGAAACTCCCGTCCCGTGGGCGTCGAGGGGGAAGTCATTCCCGTGGCTCGCCAACCAATGAGTGTTTAGACACAAGGGAGGAAACCGGAGCGCCTGGAGAAAAACCCCATGCATGCGAGGGGGCAACACTCTATCCCGCCTTCGTCTGGCGAGTCAAGGTATGGCCAAGGAAGGGGACTTTCACGCGATCTGCTTGTGATCCACTAACCCTCGCTGCTGCTTCCATAGCGCTGGATCACGACAGGCAGCCACGTGTAGAGTATTCGCCACCACCACCTCCGTCTCTGCGTGCGCATCACGGGCGGTGTCTCTGTCAACGTCTTTGCCTGGTCCCAAAGGGAGCTGTGCAGGTTTGTTTCTTACCAAGCAAGACTTTTGTTACATAATCGTACTACACCGCCCGTTATATATGAACGCACACACCATATATTTCATCTTCCCTCCCCCGACTTTAATGTAAAGCCTGCTGAGGATACGTGATGGGACACGTGATGATACACGTGAGGATACACGTGATGGTACACGTGAGGACACGTGATGATACACGTGATGGGACACGTGATGATACACGTGAGGATACACGTGATGATACACGTGATGGGACACGTGATGATACACGTGAGGATACACGTGAGGATACACGTGATGATACACGTGAGGATACACGTGATGATACACGTGATGGGACACGTGATGATACACGTGAGGATACACGTGAGGATATACGTGATGATTACACGTGAGGATACACGTGATGATACACGTGAGGATACACGTGATGATACACGTATATAATCACGTGATGATACATATGATGATACACGTGAGGATACACGTGATACACGTGAGGATACACGTGATGGGACACGTGATGATACACGTGAGGATACGCGTGAGGATATACGTGATGATTACACGTTATGATACACGTGATGATACACGTGATGGGACACATGATGATACACGTGTATGCGGTGGCGGTGGTGGGCACGAACGGTGACGTCTACTTCCGGTGAACCTTGTGACGAAGCGATGGCTGTGAACGGCGCTCCGCGTGTTGGTTCAGCGGCCTCCCTCGACGTCCCCGACTGCGGCGACTGCCGTGGCGTCGCGAGCCCTCTCCGTGGAGCGACGTCACCCCTGTCATTAGGGAGCGACTCATGTGCATGTGAATGGGGCCGGCAGTGGAGAAATGTGAAAAGGCGTACAGTGTTTCGGGTGAGCGATCGAGCGTGGTGATCCGGCGTAAGTTTAGCGTAGTTTTTCGCTCTCTCGCGGTATAATGAATAATACTCTGAACGTTGTTATTATTATTAATGATCGCAGTGCAATTTATTCATGAATGCCTCGCAGTCTTCCTGAGTGCGACATCCACCGGCCCGAGTTATACTTATTCATTCTTATGATATAATTGATTTATATGGAGAAGTCTGGCCAAAGTGAGACGCATAGTTTAAGTTTTCAAGCCATCAGTCTCATGATAATAATAATCCATGTAATGTGTTTATCCAGGAAAGCCTCAAATAATAATAATAATGAGTTTTATTTACCTAAGAGAGTGCCACAAAAGAGCCCTCCTCCCAGGCCTCTGGCTTCCTCTTCCACCTTGGGGGCCAGAGACGTCTGGGATCGACTCTCTGGGGTAAATCTATTCACACTCTCTGTGGTAAATCTATTCACACTCTCTGTGGTAAATCTATTCACACTCTCTGTGGTAAATATATTCGCGCTCTCTGTGGTAAATCTATTCGCACTCTCTGTGGTAAATCTATCCACACTCTCTGTGGTAAGTCTATTTACACACTGTGGTAAATCTATTTACACTCTCTGTGGTAAATCTATTCACATT